TCCCTAAGATCGATGGCGTATTTTAAATCGCAACTACTTTGAATTTTCAGATCCCTCAGACGATGAAAATAGCCGGGTGAAGAGGTCTATGATGTCCCACAGTCCTGTTCCAAAATTTAAAACACTTAAAGTGGCGCTGATGTGCCCACCATCTCTCCAGAAGAAATATTCCCAGGGAAACTTACAGGCAATTACTGGGGGCCTGGTAAACTACTTTATGATTCTTGCCAATATGGTAAGTCCAACCTTTTCACGTGTGTGCGTTGTGTTTTATCGACAAAAAAACATTTTTTCCATATTTTTCTATGCATGAGGAGAGATATTTTGAAGTTTGCTTCAAAGTATGTCATGGCTTCGCAGCACAGGATAGATGAAATAATATTTGGTTTATTTATACTTGCAACGAAGCAGGAAGGAGAATCAAAGTGGCCAGAATTAGACACTTAATTTCGACGTCAGCGTAGAATTCTTACTTTGCGTGTTGCCTAAATATACAGCTTGTTTCCTTTCATCTAATTCTCAGTGGAGTGTCGCGCATCTTTCGATTCACAGAAAAATTCCTTGTTTTTATGTGAATCATGTAGGTTGCTGGCATGTTTCAAGATCCCTCAATTGGTAAAATGAAGATTACTTATGTCGTCACTAGAATCCTTATCATCGATCCTGTCCGGGTACGTATGCTTGTCGGAGCAAGGAAATGATACTCTGATGTTTTATGGGTATAATTGTAAATTGTAGTTTATCGTAAATAATAAAATCTCCAAAAGCAGTGGTCTACTGACCCAAATAACTTCAGGAAATATCGATGATTTCCCCACAGTTTACGCCTGTTTGGTTCTTAGTGTGAGCATACTGGGAGAGAGTGTGTTTCTACCAAATGTTTCTACCCTCTTAAGGAATAATCATCATTTGACGCCTAGCGTAGTTTACGTAGTTTTTAGGGGGAAACGGAGAGGGGGGGAATGTAAATTTTCTCAGAGCCTAAGAGGGGGATCAGGTAAATTATATTATGACACAACTAAAATCCTCCAGCCCCCCCCCCCTCCCCCCACCCCCCAGGTGATGAATAATGATCGGTCTCTCAGTATCCAAAATTTTTTTCTATTTTCTTTTTTGTCTGTGTTTTCTCTTTTCCTTCATTTTCACTCCAATTGGCATCTTGGCATCTAGTATGGTTTCAAGCAAAGTGACAGCAACAGCATCAAACTATCCAGGATAGCTCGAAAGACGAGGGAAAACAACGCGATACAGAAAGTTCCATTTGATGTCTTCAGTTATATTTCAGAGTAAGCGATAGATATTTACTGCTCTTATGGTCGCTACTCTTTTAGGTCTCAGCAGCATGTTCTACACCCCCTTCCCCCGTTCCTTCTTCCGTGCGTTCCTCATTTGATGTTCTTCCAACAATGTAGCTTTATCAATTATCCAAACCCCAATTAGAGCAAAGTAACTGATCAAGAAAATTTCGAAAATTTCACTTGACGTGGGACCAGTGTGATACAGGTTTCACCACGTCCTTTTAAGAAAATGTAATCATTTAATTATAGGTGTCTACTTAACTAATTTTTTGATCGAGCAACAGACCGCATTATCCATTCCAAAAGTTTGAAAATCACGAGCCGTTACAACGCCGGTAAGCCAAAAACAAAGTGTGGTCGACTGCTTTTAAGAAATAAACTTAAAACAAGCACGGAAATTTTCAATTTTTTATGGGTTTACCAATGCAATAAACGGAATCAGAGCGCTCGTAGTATGTCTATAATGTCAAATAGATTTACTCGACTGTGTTTTAATATTTTTCAGCAAAATCTCCGGTGGAGGTGAGTGTTATTCATTTATCTTGATACCATTATGTGACATTTAGTAACTGCAGCTATTTCCGTGCTTCGAGCTTAAAACAAGGTATATCAAAATTTGTTGCTAGGGTAGATTCCTGAAAATGTCTCCAGACGATGGAATGAGTAACTTTGATGTGAGGTTGACTCGTTGAATGAAAATTAAACACGGCCTCTGCTGTCACATGACTTCTGATCCATCTGATCCTGATGACAATAGTTGCGGGCGAGTAACTTGTAGTGGTTTGATATCCTTTCCATGGAGCTGCAAGGGGGGAGAGGAGGGTAGAGAATCTAGCAATACCCTGGCTCATTTCGGCTTTCCTGCGTGCATGGCCACTGAGATCTGCCGCGTGCCAAATTTGCGTTAAGTGCGTACATTCCTGCGAATTTAGGTTTTTCAAAGGCTATCTGCAAAAACTGGTGAACACCGATATTTTAGATAAAAGACTATCACGACAATATAAATTTGGCAAACGTTCTGTCGATACGGTGAGAAAGAGAAACGATCTTATAACCTGCAACAGAATGCGAACATCAAAAATGCCATTTTAGACTGGCAGTGCTTAACTTTTTCGATCAAAAACTGATGGAAACTGAAGAGTTTAATCAATATCAAAATAGCTCAGTGACGACGCAGTACTCAAAATGGTTTCTTTGGCTCAACTGAAATGCGATATTTATCTTTTCAGCCCTCGCCATTGCCAATCAGATTTGTGTAGTACCTACAGGGAATGTGAATCAGGAAATCGGTTTGCCAACATCATTGCATCTCGCCCACGAGACCGGACATAAGTATGTTACTTAATTACCAGATAAAAAATTCAGGCCTTGTTTAAAAACTCCTTGCCCTAGAAAATTCTTCTACTCACAAAACAAAGAGAGAGAAAAACCCAACCAAAGAACACAATAAGAAACCAACTGAATGGAACAAACACATGTTGAAAAAATGTAACAGAAAAGACTATGTTAAAATTGCTGTCCAAAACTGGTTATTGAATCAAGACATTCCTGCGGGAAAGCGATTTTCATTTGAACTTTGAGAGACGCAATCCAGTGTTGCGCTTTACGATCGTTCTTGAGAACTCTTTACCAGTCAGTTTTCAGTTGAGAACTCTCTACCAGTTGCAGTTGTCGGCTATTTGGGTTTGACGCTTTCACTCCCAAGATCTTATTATTAATTCTCTCTACTGTCTGTAAAACAACTCTTATGATGTTGGGTCGGAGAACTTGGTTTTAGATCAGTAAATAATCTCCTAATCGATAAAATTTTTTTCCTCGTCAGTTGTCTGCTCGACATTGTATTGATATTGTAAGGAGAAATTCCATCTTGGTCAGCCATAGGGGTTGATGGGTTATGGCAGTTTACACTTAGACGCCTGAGACGTTTTACTTTAAGTTCTCACAGATTCCTCTTGATAACGACGTTTGTACTGAATGGCCAACCTGCCAACTTTGGTTTTAATTTTATCCCACTCAATACTGAACGAAACACTGTATAAATGAACAAAACTTGGTTACCCAAACAGAATTTGAAAATCCCTAGTAGGAAAAGACATCCAACAACCATTTATGCAATCTGTACTTGTACATTGCGCTTAAAGGCCTAAGGTCTTGTCAAAGATGATCTATGTAGAACGTAGTAACTTTAAAGTCATTCATGTATGCTTTTGTTGCTGTATATAATTTCAGCATGTACCTCGATCATACCAGTGGCGACTGTGCTCTAAAAGCTTATATCATGAATGCTGCACTACCAGGAGGACCTCATGCCACAGAGTGGTCAGAATGCTCCAGGAACGTCATTCAGCGTTTCTTGGCAGACGAGTGCGTACATAAAGAATAAGTCTATCTGGAATAAAGAATAGTCTACAGGGGCTTACCGGTGGGGGAGGGGGGGGGGAAGGACATCCCAGGTATCTTCGGACCGTACTCCGCGGGAAAAGTTTTTTGAATCATACAAATCTTACAATTCAGGTTTGCGATAGTTTGTGAATACGAAGAATGCTACATCTTGTATGGTACACAGTACATGGTGAGATAACAAGAAGTCGTCGCCGCTGCATTTCTCTCGCTCCCTTCCATAACTCTTCCCCGCTGATCCTCTTCGCTTGCATCTCCTTTTCTTCTTTTCGTCGCCATGATCGGTAAAGTGTGAACTTTTTTGTGTTTTTGTTTTGGTTCTTACAACAACTTACAACTTTCTTTGTGCAGAAAAAAGTCTAAATGTTTAGATGATGGTCCCGTGGGTGATCACCCCACAATTCTTTCCAGTTTCCGGGGCAAACTTCCCGGGAAAATCATCAGTGGCGATGAACAGTGCATAATGCATTATGGGGAAGGCTGGAAACAATACAATCCGGTAATTAGTCGGAATTTTGCTTCATTTTACATTCAGTACATTTAGTACATGCGCTGATTGGTCAAGTTAGCGAGCCGCATTTCACTATACGTCTCACTGATTTCAACCATTTGTTTGAATTGAAGGATATGATTAACATCTTACTGACCTCATTTTCTTAGTCCGCACAGTAATGTGCGGAGCCTCGTTTCATTCTTTAAGTCCCGTGCGCTTCGCACTTGGGCCATAAATCAAAACGGAAGAAACTTGGTCCGTAAATTGCAGCACAGACCTCAACCTCGGTTAATAAGATGTATAAATTTGCCTAATTTTTTCTGTAGCAGAGGAAGGCCAAGTAAGTCATAAGCGTGTATTATCAGTGTCAAACTTTGACATAAGAATTTGAACTCAATTCAACTTTATGAATTCTTGGATTCAGCCAATTTTTCCCTCAAAAACTACGCCAATCAAGCTAAAACTGCATGTTTCTCAACAAAATTTATAGCGAAAACAGAGACAATGTACATGTGACATGTGCTGAAATGTTATTGTTATTGTCTTTTTTGATAATGATGTTCTTTTTTCTCATTTCTTTTTTATTTCTCCTTTTTTTAGTCCAATTGTGTTTACTTATCTTGTATCAAGGAAGGCACGTTGTTGGGTAGAAATACGATTGTTGCAGATGGAACGGAATGCGGATTCCAAAAGGTAAGCATGCCACATCATCGGCTACCTGTGAAAAGGGGCGCCTATATTTGCATAATCTGAAATTCATCTGTATAATTTTTTTTCCTACTTCAGTTGTTGAATTCAATTATCACCAATCTGTAACTCGCTGACGATGAAACAGCACGTTACAGATTGAATAACTCTCTGAATTGATGACTTATTATTCAGTGGGTTACTTGTTATCTTAGTAAATGACTCGCCAACTCACTGGTTCAATAATATAACTCGTTCATTTGATTACTAGTTAACTCCTTAATTTGCCGACTCGCTAACTCACTAATTCGATTACTTACTGGCTCATTTACTATTTGAATCTTTGACCCGCTGACTCGCTGACTCGCTGACTCGCTGACCCACTGACCCGCTGACCCGCTGACCCGCTGATCAGGTGACTCTTTTACGTTGGCTACTGAAGGCGTTGACTTGACAACTCACCGAACCGTTTACTTATTAATTCCTTAACTCGCTAATTGAATGACTTGCGAACTCACTGACTCGTTGACTAGTTAGCTGATCAACTGTTTGTTATTTAACCAGGTGACCTGTTGACTCGTCTAATTCGTTTAAAAAAATTGACCCACTAATTCGCTGACTCGATGGCTCACTACTTCACTGATTCGAAGACTTGTCTATCCTTCGGTTAATACGCTTGTTCATTTACTTATTTTAATTCAAGTGGTGCATTAAGGGAAGATGTGAACAGTCAGGCATGGTAGAAAATATCGCCTGGTCTGAATGGGGCCCTTACTCTCAGTGTACCCGAGATTGTGACGGAGGTGTCCAGTACAGAGAGAGGCACTGCGTAAATGCTAAGTAAGTCCTTGCTTTTCTTGTTATCCTCTTCTCTAAACAGGGAAAGGTTTTTTTTCCCCGGTAGGATCTTTTACACGTGTCTTGTAGAAATTTTTGATATTTCAACCTTAGTCAGCAGCAATCTTAGGCTCAAATCGTAAATGCCGATCTTAGGTCAGAGAATTCGGTATTGGATCAACTAATGATTCCCTAATTGATGTTTTTTTTTATTCAGCATTTGTTCTCATCACTTTTCCATTTGATATTGTATCGATATTGCTAGGGGAAGTTCTGTCTTGGTCGCTCATGGGAGTTAGAACGAGAGAGGGTTGAGGAAGCAGTTCAAACCCCTCTTAAAACCTTTGCTTGCCTAAGTTTTTTATCGTATGTGTTTGCCATGATTGCATTTTTCCTATTATTTTTTCTTCTAAAATACCTAGCGGTTAAGATAACTCACGAGCTTAGAGGCCTACGTAACGGGAAGGGAGCTGGTCCCAGTCTCCGAAGCATGAAGCGACTAGAAGCTTGAATGTTGTTACTCCCCCCGAATGGGATGCGGTGTATTTAAGGTTACCCCCGCCCATCCCCAAGCATTCTCTGGTACCTATTTATACCCCTGCGAGTATAAAGGCACTGTCGAATGTGTCCCGCCCAAGAATACGGCACAATAACCCAGAAGCCAAACATTTTGATCCGCAGTTCAGAGCGCTAATTAACCATTTGGTTACAGCGCCTCCTTACGATTACAACAATACTTCTTATGGAGCTTACCATTTTTAATATTCTTAGGCCTCGTTATGGAAAAAATTGTAAAGGCGTCAGGAAAGAATACAGGCTTTGTAATCCGCAGGTTAGTACTACGCATGCATCGACGAGGCTTTTCATTGTAATTTTTTTTCAGTTTTTTAAAAATATCCGTCGTACAGTGAGGCGAAATAAAACTATTACAATCATGGATTACTTTCAACAATAAATTGAGACATTACTCCAAGCTTGGCTTTTATTCAAAAGAGTCAGATGGATATTGTTGACTGACATTTATTATACAAACGAAAAATACAGTGATTTTACGACGGTTTTGCTGTATATTTAACCATTTGCGGCGAGGTAAATATCTACCGCTAGCTACCGACACAGAGGTGAATAGTTGTTTTAGCATAAACTTAAATATTTAGATAATAAAGCGCAGGCGCTAATCCCGCGCAGGTTGCTCGGAAGTGAATAACAAAGGATATTCGGATTTTGAATAGCCAATCAGAGCGCGCCTTCAACGCTATCCCCTATTTTAGTATATGCTAGACACGTCTATATCTATTTTCCCTTCATCAACCCATTGTCTTGCTATGATCTTGTTATCTTCAAATAGGCTTATCTGAGGTTCCCCTCACATCTATGATACCTTGTCGATTGAATCGTAATTTTCTTGTGATGCTTTTGGTTTCCAGGATTGCCCAAGTGAGGAACAAAACTTCAGGAATGTATATGGTCAGCAAGTGTGCAAAGGAAGGAACCCCAATTACTTCCTTTACAACCTCGCAAGAGACGGTAATAGACTATATCATTTGATCGACGACAAAGTGAAGAAATTACTAAAAATTTCGAGAACCGAGATCCGAGATCCGAGATCCTGGTCTAGTTCCCGGTCAGGATAGTGCTGGTATTTCTACCGAGTTTCTGGTAGCTCCCGTTCGGAATTGTTCGAGGTCATGCTAGTAGTTCCATTGTCCGTTGCCCATTGCTTATCAGTTACAATTTTTTTTGCATTGTCTTTGCAGCAAAGTTATTATTGTTGTCTTGATCCCGCCCCAATTTCTACTGTACAGCAAGATAATCGCGTCCAAATGTTTTGGGTGAAATATTGTATTCACATCGTTGAAGAAACACGTTAAGGTAGACTAAACGAGCTCACAAACTTCGATCCTATTTATTTTAGCATGTGGCATATACTGTAGAGAAGGAAATCTGGTAAGGAGAATAGGAACCTTCAAAGACGGTATCAGATGTACCAACAATAGAAAGGACCGCAGCGTCTGTGTTCAAGGAAAATGTAGAGTAAGTTTTGCTACCGTAGCTTACGTGTTTATCTTGTGCATATACCTATCTGTGAAATATAAAAATATATATCCGATATAATTTCGCCTTGAAGAAGTATGAATTATTTCCATTAGGCTTGGTAGTAAGTTTTTTTCATCGGAGAGCCAATAAAAGTAAATTAAAAGCCGCAGAGATTTTGTGACCAATCCTATATATTTCGACTTGGCAAAGTCTACGGCAAACCGTTTCGTTTCTATTGCTTCCATGACATATCATCGCAACTGATTTATCAATGTTATACATCACTGCACAAACTCAAACCAATTCAATCTGTCCCAGGAAAAAATAATTCTCGAGAATTTTTCACCTCATATGAAAAATTATGTTGTTGCGACTCATACCTGCGACTTGTCGCAACGACTCTTCACTTGATGTTTTCGTTTTTCACGCTTTCATTACTTAAAGCAAGTTCTATCACCTCTTAAATTCGACGTATTCAAAACTGAGTTAATTTTATCTACTTCATTACTTTATGTATAAGTCGGTTGGTTGTGATAACGAGTTAGATGGAAAAACAGCAATCGACCGTTGCGGTGTTTGCGGAGGAGACGGAGATACCTGCAGTAAGATCAAAGCAACCTTCAAAGACTCTCCAGCTGAAGCAGGTATTAAGGGCTAAGGGACCAGTCGCTATTTATTTGCCTGGACGGTCGGTTTCCCCCTATATTTCGTATAGTTCTCTATGGTTCTTTTTCTTTGAAGTTATCAGTACTTGCTATGTTAATTGTTCTCTTTGTCTTTCTGACAATTTTTCTTCCTCTTCCTCCTTTTTTAAACTGAGGTTGTTGTTTCAGAAAAAAATTTACATCATTTGCCATTTGTGGTAGAACGATAGTTTTATACGTTTAATTTCAATTAAATTTCTTTTTAATTTCTAATTTATACAGGCCCCGAGAATGCGATAGAGGTAGCAGAACTTCCAGTTGGAACTAGAAATGCTGGTTTCGTGATGGTTGCCAACACTTTAAATTATTTAGGTCAGTACAGATATTTCACCGAAACAAGGGGACTCTAATGAAAAATCAGATATAAAACATCGAGAAATTTCAATTGAGTGCTAAGAGCAACCAAGGATAGCTGCGGCTCTTTTATATGATAAAGTAGCAGAAATAGTACATTTTACAGTTGTGAGTGGCTGCTAAGCCTTGGAACAGGAGTGAGGCTAAGGTTAACCTTGTTATGATATAAACCTTACTGTATTTCAAATGTAAATTGCTTTGTTGTTACGCCAACTAGATACTGGTCTCTATCACAACAAGGTCATCCTCAGACTCGTTCCAAATCAAAGGCTTGGAAACTAAGTAGACAACTATGAAATGGTCTATTCAGTTCTTAGTGGTGACGTCATCTATGCGTCTGTCCTCCGAGAGAATCAGGGAGGACCCATCAAAATGCGTGTCGAATTCAGCTTATCATATAATTAGAGTTACTTTTGATTGATTGTCGTAAACCAAACCAAAGTAATCACTAGTTACAATTTAAAAACAAAGAAATTGTAACAAGAAACCATTGAGATCACAAAGAAAGGTTAGGTTAACTTTATTTTCACCACAACTGGCAGTAATGTTGCAATCTGATTGGCCAAGTGCCAATTTACCGTTGTCCATAACAGTACACACAATGCTTCTGGCGTCAACGTGTCACGCAATGCTTTTTTTCAGCTCTCAAACATCGTTCAAACAATCATGTATTTGACATCGATATTATGATAAAAACAAATCGACATTGATTCAGCGCGGTCTGTACTCTTATCGATATTCGTCATCATAGTGGTCAAAGTTTGTTGCGGACTCACTCGGCTGCGCCTCGTGAAGACGAATCTCGTTGTCGATAAAAGATCACCGGCGCTAAACTACTTTTAATGAGCCAGCGTAGCCCATTCAGCAACATGGCTATTCTCTGTAGGAGCCCTGGTGATAGAAATTACAATCGTGAAAAAAAAAATTGAAATTGATTAAAAATTGCAAAATAAATCACGCTATTCTGAATTTAAAAATGGAGTATTTTCTTAAAAAGAAGAAAGAAATTCTGCTCTTTGATCTTTGGTAAGTAGTGTGTCAAAAAGGAACGAGCAATCTGCCTGAAACGCGGGAAAACAAAAGTGAATACGTCGTGATTAGTTTTGGTTGTATATTGGATTGATTGGGTAGGGTATTGTAGTGAAGCAAGACCAGAGTAACTTTGACACTTGATGGAGAATTGCTTCAGTTGCATTGCAAAATGTGCAATTTTGGTTACTTTATTTATTTCCTTTTCTTTGTAGGTGTAATTGACGCTCAAGGCAAATTCATAGTTGGGGGACATCTAGGCGGAAATCAAGAAAAACCTGCCGCTGGCACAGTGATAAAGTATACCCATAGAAATAGGCCGGCAGCAAGAGACGTAGTTACTATAGTTGGCCCTACGAACGCTTCGCTGAGAGTAATGGTAAGTAAGGAAAAGGCCGCCGCATGATTGCTTTTGAAGAGGAACAAATAAAATTCAGAAAATCAATTATAGTTAGCAATCGCCCATTTTGACATACTGAATCAATTATGTCATCGTCCAACATAACTGTGTTTCATCTATCTTTCTTTCAGTGATTGATCGTGATCTAATTAAACCAAAAATTATTTGTTAACGAAAGTTATTTTTTCCCTTTTTAAAGTACATAAAGAGATCACCAAAAACTGGAGACAACCCTGGCGTGATGTATCAATACCTCATTCAAGGCTCGTCCTCAAGCTCTTCACTCGGCTACAAATGGGTGGTTGGGGAATGGTCTACTTGTTCAAGGACTTGCGCTGTCGGTAAGGCGTAAAATGTATTTTAATAGCCGCCAATCTAAATGTAAATTAATATCTAGAGGTGAAATTCTATTCCAGACATTCTATGGTCCAAAACTAAATTTTTTTTCAATAAATCACACAGAACCTACGATTTTTCTATTCGCTCAAAACGTTAGTTTTAAAAACTCTTTATGGTGGCTAAGTTACATTATTTAAAAACCAAATCATCCTGTTATACCCCCAACTGAAGCAGCACCAAAATTTCTTTTGAAACGTCCCCACTTCTCATTACAAAAAAAAAAATCTTCGAATGAGAGGGAAGAGCTCCAGGTTTTATAGATTCTTCTTTCTTACAGGTACAAGAACACGTGATGTTCGTTGTATTAGGATAGATGACGAAAGTCCTGCCAGTAACTCTGCTTGCCCTGGAGAAATGCCAGCAGTCGAAGACTGCAACACGCAGCCTTGTGCAGCAAAGTGAGTTGTACCGATTTAAGTCTCATTTCCTTAGGGACGCGTTTTACGCAGGCGACAAGTTTTAGCATCATCGCCGGTTTTCGTGACTGATCTCTTGAGTCCAAGATTGCTGGAGTTAGAAAACGCATTGCATCGTAGCAGTGGTCGGGTTTGACCGACCTCACTCGTAAGTTTTAACAAGCAGATCTTTCTCGAACTTTTTCACATGCAGTTCTACTCAGTTAGGGAATACTTTTTATAAATGTATTGCCAAAGCCAACCTGTTCTTACCAGCAGCAAACGCCCTACAGAACTTAGAAGTTTATCTGTTTATAACGGATTACATTTTGGTGTCGTTAAACCAAACTAAAGTAATCGCAAATGGAGAAAAAAGCGTGGGGAAAAAATGCAAATATGAAAGCGCTTCATAAGTGTCGTGGAGACCGTGTTTCCAAAGACATTAACGGTAACTTTATTTCTATGTTTCAGATGGACTCAAGAATGGACCTCTTGTTCGAAAACATGTGGAAACGGACATCAACAACGTCAACTAAAATGCCTGCACGAAGTAGCCTTGGACGACTTCAGAGAAACTGATTTATGCTCAGAACCGAAACCCGTTAACGTTGGACCAGCTCTGCTGGCCTGCAATAGATACCCTTGTCCGGCTGCATGGAATGTTGGGCCCTGGTCTGCGGTTAGTTGAATTGTATATTAAGTTAAACCCTAATCAGACAATATAAACCTCTATGAAAATAAAGATTTTAACTTTTGCACTCGGTCGACGAATTAAAAAAAAGATGCCCTTCACATGTTACGAGCATAGGGGAAGAAAGGAAAGAGGTAACCACTCGGATTTCAACCTCGGTAACATCATCAAGGAAATTTGAATATATTTATATGAGGAGCTTTTTGATATTGAGAAGGTCCTCCATACCCTAGAAAAGCTTGAGGACCCTGAATTTGAAATATTTAAATTCTATGTGGAAAAGGAAGGCCCTCATGCTGTTTTTTTTAGTACTGTTTAAAGTAAGCAGGCAGTTCTTTGCAAACATGTCATAGCTGGTTCGATGTATTTCAGACGAATGAGCTTTAGTGAGTGTCCCAGGAATATCAAGCTAGTATCTACGAATCTAAAATCCCAGAATCCGACTGAGGACCACTATTTGGTATTTCCCTTTCGCTTTTGAGAAGCCTCACGCTAGCATCACCCTGAATATTCAATCTTTTAGCGTAAGAGAACTATCTAAATTGTTCCCAGTTTCTCAAGCAAAAAGGGCAAGATTGAAATCAGAATTGGTGATTCCCATGGCATAGCTTACAAGGCCTTATTAGTAGTACAAAATTATAACGTATTTTCCTGGCAAAATGATGATCGTATTGATGGAGGCACTTTTTATCAAGCTAGCCCATAGAGTAAAAGTTTGATTTTTCATGTTTCCTGAACTGCAGTGCCCCACAAAGTGTGCAGTTGGAATGATTCGTCGTGAGGTTTCATGCTCAAGAATCGACGAATCCGGAAACTTAACCATCATTGATCCAGAGTTTTGCCGATATATGAACAAACCTCTTTCTGAAATGAAATGTAACGAGAATAAACCTTGTGGATGTAAGTCACTTTATTTTGTTCTCGTATCTAGAAGAAGAAAAGAAAATTATTTCAGAGGTATCAAAATAATGTCCGCTTATATTTCTTGGCTCAGCGAGACCACCCACCTGCCCTCCCATTGGACATAACTGCTCGAATGGAGGAAGCTGTCAACCGGATCCATCAGGTTACAAGTGCGTTTGTGACAAGGGATTTACTGGCGTCGAGTGCGAAAGTAAGTGTGCATGAGCCAAGTGGCCTGCGCTGTTGGAGTTTATCCAGGCTTTTAAAGTATGAAATAACTAGAACGATGAATAGATGGTAAGTTTTTGGCTCGGTAAAGAAATATAAAAAAGATGTTTTTCGTCTTGTCATGAGCGTGGGCCAAAGAAGAAAATTCTGAGTCAACATAAGGAATCGAACCTCAAACCTTCGTATTCCGCGATCCGATGCTCTACTACTGAGCCACAGAGACTCTACGGTGAGCGAGGCCTATTACGAAGTTCATATGACACGCATCTTGCATACAGACAAGACGAAAAACATCTTTCTATCACTGGAAATGTTGTGGGAAACCAAACCATCAAAGGACTCGTCCTCATTGTTCTGACAGAGCTCCTTCACAGTACCGATGGCGCCCATGAATACACTTAAAGTAGGTATAAAGAGGCACGTGATGTCGTCGAGCTGCATCAGTCAGCACTCCTACCCGAGCCCCATAGTTTTGATCCTAGAGCTTCCGATTTACGAATTTCCATCTCAAATTACTGAACCATTAAATTTTTCCTTTATTATGTCTTTTTTTTTTATTTATCAATAGTAAAATTAAACCCATGCGACAAGAAACCGTGTTTAAATGGTGGTGAGTGCTCAGCGGGGATCATTCATCATTACAATCACACCTGCAAGTGTCCCCCTCTCTTTACAGGAAGGAACTGCGAAAGTAAGTTCATTGTATTTTCGCTTTCATGTGAAAATAAATAAAGTAGCCTGCATTTGGCGGTTTAAAAATGTGCTCCTACATTTTTCCATTACATTAATTGACATTGATTGTTGCCAGAAGTTCATAAAAATCACACAAAGCAATTTTAACCCTTATAGGTAGTGATTGTTGGATCTTTCTACACGCGCTTTACTGTGTAAATATAGTTTTGCGAAGTGGTATTACGAAGATGCATCGATTGCGAATAAAATTTGTAGTTCTCTACCACTGTAAAAATAAGGTGTTTCGTCCAGCTAAGATTGAGCTGTTGAAATATTCCGGTCTTTATCTCTCCCATTAACATTCTACTTCCATTCATTCATATTCCTTGATAACAAATCATTCAATTTAATATTCTCTCCCTTTTCTATCGATGTTTATTCAATATCAAATTAAAATTACGTGAAAATTACTCAAACAAATACAAAAATTTAAGCATACTGTTTTAACATTGTTCACATTACTTGAAAAATCAGATACATAATCGTTCTAGGAGCCTTATCTGAAGATATCTCGAAGTTCAGTCGAATTATTTGCTCTTTCAAAAGCGTCTGTTTCTCTTTCAAGTATAACTGTTTATATTGATATATCCACCTTTCACTTCAGCTAAAATAACAGCTTGCATGAGCAATCCTTGTTTAAACGGAGCCACTTGTGACGATAAAGGTCTCTCAGACGAATATACTTGTACGTGCCCTCAAGGCCTTACGGGTCAGCGTTGTCAAGGTAACATTGCATGGACTTTTGAAGCATTTGAAGTGCTCTTTAATTTTCAAAGCTCTTTTTATGAAAGTGTAATTTGACCAAAACCATTTGTGGTATAATTAATTCCACAAATGCTACTTTAAGGGAAGTGTTAATGTGGAGATTTCGAATAATTAATGAAACACTCACAGTTTGTTAGTTCCAGGTTCGAGCCTAATGAATTCTCACCATTATTTTTTGAACACAATTTTTTTTATCACAATGCATTTCACCATTGCTTTAATTTGTTACAGTTTCAGCGTTTTATCGCATCGGATGTTTTAATCACAAAGCAAATGTGATACCCACACTGGTAGACCTGAGAAAAGAAGTGAATCTCAAAGATACTCAACCCACGATTATGAAATGTGCAGAGCTAGCCCAAGAGAAAGGTTATAAGTACTTTTCTGTCGGACTGAACGGAATTTGCTTCTCTGGTCCAAAAGCTGGTGAAAGCTATTTTACAAAAGGTGCTGCTCCTAACAAGAAATGCGCTAAAGGCATTGGCTCAAAAGCCTCTTCTGTCGTTTTTACGTTTGGTAAGTAAATTCACTTGTGGCTGCGTCTCGTGTGCCACCTTTTAATTTGTTCTTGCAATATTTTGAAGTCAACTTGCCGTTATATGGAGTGTGTAAGTCGTGTTGTGTAAACAATTTTTTATTGCCATTCCTCTTTTTTTAGCTTTTTCAATGTTCATTAGAAAACACAGGAGTGACGAGACGTTGGGTCTATGAATTGTGACTTCTTCGGTTACATTCTTTTAATTTGTAAACCAAGTAGCATCAAACCATGTCTGATTGTCCACCTGGTTACCATGTGAACTTTAATATACGATAATAGTTATATAATTTTCACGCACTTTCCTCGTCAATACACTTTTTCTTTGACATCTAGAGTCAGTTCCATCTTACAAGTCTCTCGGTTGCTACGTTGCCTCGGCTAAGAAGAGACCAAAACCTTTGCGAATAAGATACATCAACTTCCGCAATCAAAAGAACAAACAGAACGGAGTGACTGTTGATCAGTGCGCCCGCGTAGCAAAGGCCAAGGGTTACGCATATTTCGCTGTGCAGAACACGGCAGAATGTTGGTCTGATGTGAATGCTAGGGACACCTACGATGACCTTGGTCCTTCTCAAAAATGCAAGGGAGGAATAGGGTTGAAAGGAGCGAACATGGTGTATCAGTTGAATGGTGAGAATTGCATTTCAGTCGAACCTGTGTAAGGCGGCATCGTATTAAGCGGTCACCTGTATTAAGTGACCGGTTGTCAAAGTCCCAAATTATTTTTCCCTTTAATCACTGTAATTCTCATCTCAATTAAGGGGTCGCGGTCACCATTGAGTGAGTCCCAATGGCTTGTTTGTATTGTCATCCACCTGCATTTAGCAGTGACTTAAAGCGGAACTACTCGAATTAAACTAAAAATAGTTTTTCTAGTAAAATTTAATCTATGTTTCTCTCCCGAAATCGATGTTAGTAGTATTGAGCCAGGTTTTATACAATGAGTGGTCAATTATGAAATAAAGTGGCGTTTTATATATTACCAAAAATTTCGGAACGCCTTCCACCGTGGCTGACCGCTTTATACAGTTTTGATATTATAACCATTGATTGTCAAAGAAATGCTTCAGACTAAGTTAGTTTGAAATTTACGTTATCCAGCGTTCTATACATAACCGGGTCTATGTATTGCGGGAGTGAGTCCAAACTCGCTCATTGCGGTCCGCATTACTGTTGGTGTGAATAACTGATATAGAATGTGTCTTTTCTTTTGTAGAATAGCTGGCGCTAATTTGATAAGTGGACGGACTTGATGTCTCTGGTAGCTTCAACGAACCGTTCGACGGAGAAATTTCTCTTATAACCTTTTATTTAACAATAATTCTGCAAAATAGTGTGCCTACTTAAATTTTGGTATCTGTTTGAGTAATTTTCACGTAGTTTTAAGACAGAAAGGGAAGAGAATATTAAATTGAATGATTTGTAATCAAACAAACTGCTAATGAAAATACGCAATAAAATAAATTTTCAACCTACACAGTAGCGTTTTTTAACAAATGAAATCCTCCTGCGCGTCTTCCTTCTCAAGTCTTCCTCAACACGGGCCTCGTCAAAATAAATAGGGCACAACGTCTATCCCAAGTTTAATGCTACTAAGGGTGCTCCTAGTAGTTTATGGAGTTTTCAAAAGACAGTCGGGCAGTTGAAATTTTAATCATGTCAAGAATCTAGTTTGTTTGATTTAGAATGTTAGAGTGGGCACATTTGTCAACGTGGTATTTTCATTTACTGATCTTTATTGGTAACTTAATTAGTAACGCAAATCCCAAAATACCCGCGCGTTTCATAAGTTAAACCACCTGACAAGAGTTAAAACTGCAGAAAAAAGCACAATTTTTTTACTTCGCTTTTCCTTCGAATGATTGATGGCGCGCTGTTAATTACAAATGGAAAGCAGCTTAAATCATACCTCAAAGCCGAGTTGAATATACGTTATCTTAATTGAGGGTAAATTTTAACCTCGTTAGACAAAAGCTGGATTCGCAGCATAACAATCGTATTATTCGCTTATTATTAAAGAAACAATGGGAAATGTTAGTGAAAAGACGCGACTGATATACTATTGTGAACATTCAAGTATGACAGCATAACTGTCAGAAGGCTTGTGCCATTCAACAAAGTTCATGAAGGAGTGTTGACGAAACTCGCCAGCTGCACTGCTCAAGTAATTTTATGCTGCATACGAAGTGATCCATAGAAACTTCTACAAAAAAATCCAAGAGCACTCAAAGATTTAACTAAGAATGCGTCGAGAGGGAAGGTCAGGAATAATTAGATTTTAAAAACTAAGAATTAGCATCTCGTATGGCCACATTGGTTGAACTGAGGTTTTGTGTTGTTTTTGTTTTTCTACTTCTTTTAGATTGTGCCACTATTTCTTGGTTCTGAAAATACATTGAAAAATAATATCTCAAATCATATCCTTCTAAAAATTACCGCTGATCTAGCTCTTTCAAAACTGTGCATTTAGGCGTTAAATTTTTTCGTCAGTTATGTTGTTCAAAAATGAGCGCGAAATTAAAATTCCAACGGAAGCTGAGCAAGGAATTAACACGTATTTGTGGTACAATTATCTTTTCATTTGCTTTTCTTTTAATAAATTGTTTAGACAAGATCATTCATTTTTCATTTCTGCGGTATCACGCAAGACATTTGTTCGTCTTAGCAAGACGCCTTCCGCAAAAAAAAATGTATAGATGTTTTTTGATATAAGGCCTTTACGTTTCGAAGCGAAAGAGCAAGCAGGAATAAAAATGGGTGCTGGTCCTTTTGAAAGTGGACCATACCCTCAAAGACCTCAAGCATTCATCAGATTTCTGTGATAGTTCACCGGTGACCATTTAACTTTACGCTGAGTCAAATGAGGCATTATTGGCGTGACATTTCTCTTTTCAGAGAAAAACACCATGACTTGAAGAGGTACGATCCAAGATCTTTCGATCCATAGTCCATCGCGCTAATCGTTAAGCGAAAAAACGAACTTTAGTTTCCGCTACTAAAGCCTGAAAATTAAATAATATGGAACTTCTTTGTTTACAAAAAGTCTCCTTCACTAACCCAAATTAACATCTTTCCTCGACAACATATCAGATTTTGTGACTGCCGTCTTAGTTTTTCAAGAAATTTCATGTTTTATTATCACTTCTATTATTCTAATTTTGAAGTCGTCTGCAGACAGAAAAGTATATATCAAGGGTCATAAAGGAATTGCTATGTTGTATCAGTTTGTTCAACATCGATAGGTACTCACTATCAATTAATGGTCGCTGTCTTTCACATCATAATTTATAATCTTTTACTAATAGAATAAGGAAGATGGTAAGTTTTGAGCTCGTTAAAGGAATAGAGAAAGATGTTTTTCGTCATGTCACCAGCGTAGTACAAAGAAAAAAGTTTGAGTCTCCATAGGGGAATATAAAAGAACTAACACGCAAGTGAAAGAATACAAACAGTGAGGGTATCGCTTAAAGTAGTTATACCATTGCACAATTCAGGTACTTGAAAATTAACGGTGCGTTGAAGTGAGGTGGCACCCGAAGAAAATTATGGAAATGCAATTTATCTGCGACACACAAGAAACATGTCTACTAGACCATCACTTTTGTGTCACTGGAACTAAGAGTGTCTCATTGTGTCAAACCACTTCGACGTGCACACCTACACGTAGAGCGTCAGCGGGCTGTAGCGGATTTCTCCCGATCACGTCAAAAGGAAATACTTATGATCACAGACAATTTCCACCCACAAAATCGACATCAACATTAACATCTTGAAGTAACCGCGTACTATGACAAGATGTCATGTTTTCCTGTCTCGACAAATGCTTCAAGGCATGCAACAATCAAGACACACTAGGAGTATTGTAGCGTTTATTTGCTTACTTTCAGGTGTAACCGTAGACTTAAATTTTGTTTCGTAGAGTTCAAATTTTGCACTACTGGAGTGTGCATTGATTATGCTTTTTAATTGCTTCTGCAAACAATCGTAGCTACATGAATGATCTAATAATTTGTTTACAAATACTTTTTTTTCAGTCGCGAGTCTTTTTAAATAAAAAAAAAACAGAGAATAGATGGAACGTGCAGGAGAGAAGCTAAATTCGATGAACGCGCTGCTTAAAATGTTGGACTAAATTGCGTAATTTTCGAAGAAACGTACTTGAAGATTAATGAAGCAGAGTCAGTGACGAGATTTAATCTTTTAAAAACAATAGAAAAAAATAAAATAATTTGTGATCCAGTAAGATAAATACTTACTTCGTGACAGTGGAAGTGACAAGACGGTTTAAAGTGTGTGGCCGCACCTCGTGCGCCAAATTTTAGTTCTTATCACACTTTGACGTCATCCGGGAGACGCATGGCATTTTTTAGGATATATTTGTTAAACAAAATTGCTTCGATGAAAAGCTGACGCTCGAAACGACGGCTTTGAAACTCTTTACGGTGGACAATTCACGCTATCAATTCAGTTGATAATGCTTATTTAATTGCCCTGTTAAACTTTGTAGAGATCTTTGTCTTGTTCAGCGAGCAAAATCTTTTAAACTTAATGAATTTTGTTAATTTTTGAAACATTGTCATTACTATTATTTATTATTATTATTATTATTATTATTACCATCATTTTTGTTATATTTCAATACTATCGTATCGGTTCTGTTTGATTGCTGCAGACTTCGTTTGGGAGAGCGGAGGTAAACCAACCACTTATGGTAAAACTTAGCCTCCGCAAGGGCGTGAAAAAAAAAAAAAGGAATTAAAGCAAAAACTGTCATGTAACTACTTAATTTGTAGTTAAGTACAATCAAAAAGCACTATCACCATTTTGGTGAGACATACCGCTCTACTCGTAGTGTCTGCATGTCCTTTTTATCAGTTAGCATCGACAAGAGAGGAGCAAAGAGGAAAGGGACCGTTTCATCAACAAAATTCTCGCCAAAGGGGAAGCCTTTCCGCGACATTTATTTTGTAAATGCTTAGTCACTGTTTCTAAATGAAGGCAGGAAATCTGCTTCACAACTGAGTACTAAAAAATGACCGAATATTTTTTTTCCTTGTTTGAATAAAGTTGACGCGTATGTACAGTTTCTTCTTAAAGAAAGTAGAATTAAATAGTAGAACATAGATGCAAAGAGGAAGACTCGTGTCTTACGGAACATGGACTCTAATGACTTTTATCCACTGTATCTTCTGTCAATTAAATCGATGATATCCTTGCTTTAATGGATAAAAAAGGAAGTTAAAAGCATTTAATTTTGAAATTTGGGATTAGTTAAAACATTTTTAAGATGGCCAATCTAAAATCTTCATTAGTTGAAGAGTTACCATGGTGAGAAAATTGTGTGAGTAATTTTTTCATTTATCTAAAACTTTCTAACTTTAATGATGCATATGCGGGTAATGCAGGAAAACTTTATTACTCAGATTTTAAGTCAAAAAACAAGGAAGACACAGATAACAGAATGTTATTTGAGGAGATAAACTACAGTTATAAAAGTGTATCACTGTCAAAGAGCAATTTGATAAGCATATATCAGTATACAAAAAAACAAAATAAAAGTTCTAAATTATTCCCGCATATGCTATATAAGTCAAGACGCTGAACAGAAAGAGAAACTCGATAAAGGCATTTCTGAGAAGCGACCGTTCGGACTTGCATGTGTCTGCATTACACGTAAGTATCAGTACATTTCTAGCTATTTTTTTAATTTCATTTCAAATCAAATCATTTTGACTGGCTCAGTAAATCAGTCTTCACTCCCACATCCCGTTCCTTAGATAATCTCTGAATTTGATATGACACGTAGCATTTTTACAATTGTTCCGCTATTTGATAGATTATACCTGTGTTCTTATCAGTCTACTCTTGTTTTCCCAGGCAACTCTAATATTTTCATTTTCATTTTTCATCTATTAAACTGATAAATCTTCTTTACCTAAACCGACTCTAAACGGTAAAGCTCTCTTTTCTCCAGAGAAACAGATTAAGTGAAGCGAGAAAACGTCATCATGTTCCACGGAATCGCTGGAATAATGAACGCCACTCACTGATCGATGCCAAATCAGCGGAAATGAAGAAAAAAAAAACAAAAAAAAAAGAACTTCCTTCAATGAATTGGCTTTTTTGCTGTTCGCCAAAGAAATTTTTACCAATTTTTAACGATTTCTTAAAACATGCTTATAGATAAATTGAAATGACGTTGCATGCTAATATGATTTTGATATCAGAGAATTTGTATCTTCCAACAAGCCCCATCTAGATCAACGAGGCAGTCGTGTAAAATCTTTGAACAAGGATCAGTTTTAAAAAACCTTTGTAATTTGTCAATATTTATTTTCCGTTCTTTTATTTCGTTTTCACCAACAGTCAAACCCGCTTATCAAAAAAGAGGCACTTATAGAGAAACAAGCTATGTTAATGTCCTTAAGATCTTTTAATTATACACGGAATCTTCGGCACTCAACGCGCTGATATTTTGTTTAGGAAAAAATTTGGCTTTTGTTCTCTGAAACAGAAATCCTTAGAAGTTAATTTCATCTAAAATTCATCCGGCTTCAGCTATAATTTCGATTTGTAGTTTAACTTAAGCTTTCAACATCGGCTTTCTTTCGGTGTGTAAATGTTGAGATAAATATTTTGCATTGCAATTAAAACCCATTTCCCTCGAAAGAAAAAAAATCTTTGCCAAGTCACGTAAAGGAAAGCTATTCTCGCTGGAGCGTTTCAAGTTTTTGTTGTGGTCAAAATTCTGCTATGACCAAGATACCCTTTTAGTGACGCAGTTGTATCGCTGGTTTCCGGTTCCTTTGACTGAGAAGATTTTGCCGCAGGGGACTCTTCAGTCATTGATATTGGATGATGTGATGTAACAACAGTTCCCGTATGAAAACATCAGCTATAAGAAAAATTATTGACATTTTCCTACACTTTCGAGAAATTTCAGAGACCTGTAATAGCCCCTGAAAAGAATCAAGGAAATAATAGTCAATTCTAGGTAGGTACCTATTATCATCCATAAAACAGATCCAATATCACAAGGCGGTATCAATTTCCCAATTATACTGAGGAATCAGGTTATCTCCTGGTCTTAGAGACCACTCTTTTATATTTAGCTTTTTAAGATAAAAGTATTTAGGACTTTTTTTTTTACAAAGAACTCCGCGGATCGCTGGTATAATGACGAAATAGTCAAGAGCTTACTGATTATTCTAGGAGAGAGTGAAGGCCCAATAGAGCTGAATAAATTAACATGAGGCAAGGAAAGACCCTGGCTCAAATATAGTCAATTTACACGTTTAAAATCGTGATTAGCGTTCGTCCAAAAATATCTCTGTGGTGTGCAGGAGGACATGCATGAGGAAAAAGCATCCGCGATCCATGAACACAATTTCTTACTTGATTCCTGCCAACTAAATTAGTTTGTTTTGTATTCTAGCTAATTTTCAACGACTTGACAATTTTGTGGGAAACTCCATTCCCATCTCTCTCTAAGAAGGTTTATGCGGACTTACACGCGCTAACTCAGCAGCCCTCACGCTTGATTACGTCATATACTTAAAATTAATCTTGAAGTCTCGTTTTCATCACATTTTTATCGCTGCCACCGCTTACACGGTTTTTTTATGTGGAACTTCGCTTGAGTGCTCGAAGACTTCTTGTACGTAGAACTTCAAGGCCAATCTTTCAGATTACTTTGTTTGATGTGTTTTAATTGCTCAATTTATTCATTTCTATCAGGTCTTCCCGCTATCTTAGAACAATCGTTATTCTTTTGATGACGCCAAAAAGTTGTAAGAGTTTGTCTATGATATTTAAAGAGAAAAAAAGGACCCATTTTGTATAATCTTATTATTTTTTTCAAAAGTATAGTACCCCGCAAACTGGTTCGTCGTGAGAATTATCCTTGGCCTAGTAAAGTGCAGAACGCCCAAAAAGCAGCACTTAAAATCTTAAAAGTTATCTTTAAGCGAAGAAAATTCCCTATTTATTTGAATAGATTATTGGCAAGCTTCACATCTATGAAAAGAACCGCAATTTTAAACCCACATAATTTACCGCATCCCAGCTTAAGCCGCATACGTGTCGCATCTATTAGTTTTTCGTACATGACTGAGGAGTCTCAAAAATACTTCGTCTCACTTGTCTACTCAATTCTTACTTTTATTAAGATCACGATAAAAACATTATAGCGTTTTAAATAAGTTCTTTACAGCATCTGTTATTGAGTTAATCATTGAAACCAAAATGCATATTAAGAATGCAAGTGTTGTGTTGTAAAGATGATACTTATCTAAGTAATGAATGTTTTAAAAAAATCATTTCGACGGAGATGATATGGAGTTTGGTTCTTAACTTAAACTTTTTCCTTTGTTTTCTTCAGTTATCTTCGTTTCAAAAACAATCAGACTTGATGCAATTTATGGTAGATGTTCCAATTAAAAATTCATTCGTTTAACAACGAGTAAAAGAGCGGCAGATATCTCTAAAAAAACTAAAAAAAAAGCGAATTCAAAACTACCATAGAGTAAGAAAAGAACTGGAAACAGAAACCAAAAAACACTTTAGAAGTTAAAGGGTAAATGTTGCGTGTATTTACTATTTTTTTCTATTTTTTTCTTTTTATTTGTTTCTTTGTTTTTTCGGTTTGTTTTATTTCGTATTTCATTGTCTGATACCTGTTTTCTCAAGAGTTCTCCCCGTTCTAAAACTGATTGTATCTACGATAATGAGCATTTTGATATAAAAAAATCGAGCCTATTACATGTAGGAGTGGATCGAGTCTTCGTTGTTCATAAAACTTATCGTCTTTATCTATTTTCATTTTTTTTTTAGCGGCAAGATGAAGCAATCTCCCACTTGGATATGTATCTTATTCTATTTGACATCACTGTTTCATAACAGTAAGTTAAACACAACGACATTTTCAACCCCAGCAAATTTTTACCAAATCTCCTTCAGAAGGGCTCAGCGGACCCAGCAGCGTAATTCAGTGTCTCGATCATAATTCTACTGACAGGGAACCTTGCCTGGCGAAATAATCTTTGAATTCACATTCTCTTGGGCCTTCTTAACATTATACGAGCAATTAATAATACCTAGTCAAAAGTGTTGGCCGGTGATGAACCGCTATTTCAGTCCCTCTCTAGCTAGCGAACGACGAATAACGATATTATGGGTTTCCCTTATAGGTTGCGTTGGAAAGTTGAAGTTTTTGCTTTAAGTGATATATATATTTTCTTTTTATTATGTAGGTGAACACCGCACAATCGATGGAAAGGTAAGATAATTGTTTAGTTTTTCAGTTTGCTTCTCATAAGTTAGTGTGCGTTTCACAAAATGGGTATTGCTGAAGCCGAGTAACATAAAACCACTCGGCAACGCGTCAGTGAGAAAAGAAATTTATGCAGAGAAAAATTTGAGATAGTTTGTCATAAATAATCCGATGTGAACTTGATGAAAATACTCTATCAGCAATTACTGTTATTTAACTAGCTATATAGATGTCAATGTCTTGAAATCATATTTTAAAAAAATGTATGTTGCTTTGCGCTGACACGAAACTACATCAACATTACACAGTGACTGTCTTGCTTCTTGAGTACCCAGCTTTAAAAGTTCTATTCCATTTTGGTGAGGGAAGGTTATAAATAGTGATTGAAATGTTTTATTTTTGAGGATTCTTCTAATTAGTGCCGTCGCTTATTTCGGGCAATACGACTTACATTTACTTTTTGCTTTTCTTCTGTTATCACCTCTTTCTAGCCCCTCCATCATTTGATGACAGAAGGGGAATTGAAACGTTATTTTGGCTCAGAGAACCTGTCAAATGGTAAGAGACAATTTTTCTTAGTTTGAATATATGTATATTTAGAAGTACAGTGCTAAATTCCATCATGTCCAATCAGATGTAACGAGGCTCCTAAGACATACATATACAATTTTAACACAAAGCTGACTTACATACTAATAAATATTGAATAGGTATCACTTTTTACACATACGACTCGAAGTGATGCATCATTTTTGCTTTCCTTTGAAGTCCCTGAATACGATGTCACAGTGCCGCTTGAGTCAAAGGATGGCAACTTCGCCAATTCGTACTCAATGAATGGCCGATTTAGGAGAAGCCTCGAAGAAGACGATGGTGCGACTTACCACTATCATATTAACGCCCTAGGAGAAAAGCTACATCTCCACGTTAAAAGAAACACAAAATTTATGGCTCCTGATTTAATGTTGGAAACCCGTGATGGGAATGGACAAAGGGTTTCCAGACCAGTGTCCAGGGATGCGTTTGTGACCGGCTCAGTGGCTTCGGATCCAGATTCAGTGGTTGCATTGAGTGTTAGAGAAGGGCTGGTAAGATTATCTATGGAAGGGCACCTAGAGGGAACTATGTTACAAAATGAGTCATTTTTTGCGCCGAGCAAAATTGTAGTTAGTTCAATGGCTACATGTACCGACAAATTTCTTCGTTATGGGTATTGGTTTTTGCTCCAAATTATACACCATCTTGAATGGAATTTGAATTATATTGAAACGATCTGACGAATTGCAACTTACAATTTATCAGGGAAAATACAATTTTTGAACACTAAAACAAACGAACGAGGACCTCCTAACCTGAAAATCGTAAATAAAACATATTATGGAAATATAAAAGACAGTATATGGCTTAGTCTGGGTGTTAAACTTGCTGTAAGCAAAAACCGGGTGGATTCGGATTTTCGTTTTCCACGGTTCTGTATAATTTGCATTACATTTTTCTCTATCGGTAGACTGGTATAGTGAGAAGATCACGTGACACTTTCTTAATTCATCCTTTACCCAAACGGCTGGCTCGACACTTCGGAGATAAAGAAGGAGCAAAACCACATTTGATTTACCGAAGATCCTCACAAGAGAACAATAGGTGTCAAACAAATACAGGTAAGAGCTAAAGGAGTGAGTGATGACACTGAATATCTCATGGAGCCCTTCATCCTTCATGACGCTCTGTTTGGTCGTAAGATATCTCGTCTTTGAGGAAAAATATTTCAAGAATCTTTCTTGAGATTTTGCAGTTTTGATGACGAAGGAATAGAGCAATTTTCATTTGAGATAAGAAAGTTATCTGAGACTACAATGGTTTAGCTTTTTTCTGTTCCGTGATTCGCCAAGAAAAATCACGCTACCCTTTCAACCAATCAGGTGCTAACCCCAAACTAATCACAACTTGGTCACGCACGTTTATCTCGCTTTAGACAATTGGGAATTCAGTCTCATAACGATCAATTCCTGACTAGGAAGTCCATACAAAACTCACCATTGAAGACAAAAACGAGCTAAATCCAACCTGGAAAATCGAGACTGCTTTTCGTAGGAGCATCGTAAGTTAGATACTTTTGGTCAGCTTGCTGAAGGTTTTTCTTCTGCCTAAAATAGACGGCTTTCTTATCCGTACCAAGGAAAGGGAAATTAATTCAGTTACATTCAAAGCCTCATCCATTGCATTTACTTGAATGTTCTGAATTTCGAATCTCATTAGAAACGATTCCCCGAGAGAGGAGAGCTCGTCGCTCTTCAGAGAGAGCAGGCGGTGTTCAGGAAGACAACCACAACAGCGCAGTAAATGATAAATACTTGGAGGTAGCGATACTTGCTGATGAAAGTATTGTCGAGGTTCATGGAAATCACTCCGAGGAATACCTATTAGTTTTAGCCAGCATAGTAAGTTAAAAGGTTCCAAGAATATTACTCATTATGGCCTTCCATCTCTCATTTCCAACCAGCAAATCACAGTAAAAATTTCGTCATCACACTGCTAAGCAACTTTCGGATGAAATCTGGATTTTAAGTTTGTGCATTATAACATGATCTGTTAGTTATGCATTCAAATCAAAGAAAGAGTCTCTACAAAATCTGATTGCTGTACTTTTTCTTTGGTTTCTCTTCCGTTTCCTTTCCTTTGATTGTGTTTGTTCCGAAGCTCACTCCTTTCCTTGACGTCCTACAGGTAGACGCTGGAATTTTCCAAGATCCAACTATCGGAGAGCAAAAGATCAATTTTGTAGCAACTCGCCTTGTCTTTGTCAAAAACACTGAGGTAATTCTTTAATGTAGAAAATGGAAAGACCAAATCGTCTTCAGTTAGCCACTTCACCGGTTAAACCCTTGTTCTGGAAGCGATATGTCGATGATTTTATTTCAGAAGTATCTGGAAATGAAGCTGAATGCCTCCTATCGCATTTGAATTCAGCGGAGCCGTCTATCCAATTCACCCTTGAGCGTAAAAAGGATAAAGGATTGATTTAAATGGGTGCAGAGCGGAACAGGGGAATTTAGAGATAGGTGTTTATCATAAACCTACCCGCACCGACGGATACCTCGCTTTTGACTCCCATCCCCCTATTTGCCGTAAAAATTCTGTAGCTAAAACTGTACGCAGGAGGGCGGACTGTCCGCCATCTTCATTTGATTCGAAGGCTGAGGAGAGAAAATATGTTTCGGACGTCCTAAAGGTAAATGGCTATACAAACACATTTCTGCGTAACTGCAAGAACCAGTTACAACAAGTAACACTCCTGATGAGAGGGAACCAGCGACTGGTTTTGCAGTTACTCCTTACACTTTCAGGGTGTTGCAGAAACCATCAAGATAATTTTTAATAGCCACAACGTTAAAGTTGCTCAAAAACCTTTTCAGAACTTGGGGCATATTTTTGCCAAACCTAAAGATCCCATCACGAAAGAACAACGAAACGACGCTATTTACTCTATTCTGTGCAATGAATGTGATCACGAGTATATCGGACAGACCAAACGTCAGTTTGGTACACCTTTTAAAGAGCATCAAAAAGCGGTATTCTTCAGCAAAAAAGAAAATTCAGCTCTGTCAGAGCACACATGCCTAACTAGTCATACAATTAGGTGGAATAATTCCGGCTAAAATTAATCACCACTAATCGACACTACCACCAGCGCCTACATTTGAAAGCCTAGCATATCGACTCCTACTAATTCTTTCTCTACTAATCCATGTAAACCATCCTCGGCTTCCAAGGATTCACGATGAAGTTTAAAAAAGATAAACACAGCGTTTTTGTTTCACTTATGAACACTTTTATCTCCTCACTTTCATTTGCGGACCGTTCAAATACCCCTTGACCCATAATTAAGTCCCCTTTGACTACATAATACTGAAAATAATATTTTTATTTTATCTTTGACCAGTTCGGAGCCAATTCTGCTTCTTCTGGTGTACGTCACTTGGACATTATTGGTAAAGTGGGAAAATGGGCTTCAGAAAACAACAGACCAGATGAATCGGATCCTTTGCAATTCGACGTTGCTGTTCTTGTTCGTGGGTAAGTCGTGTTATTTTAGTTAAGTGTTGATGCGTAGGCACCTCGAATCTTACCAGAAATTAATTACACACCAGCAAGATTTTCTTTGCGAGTTTCCTTGTCATGATCGCCCTTCGTCAATTTTAGCGAGTGGAGCTCGCTAGAATACCCACAAGTCTTCTGTAAACGCTTAAAATTACCCCCATGATGTCTTTTTAAGTCATTTAGCACTCTGTTGTCCGCAGTAACTTTTCTTTGCTACCTCATAAAAAATTTTTTCACTTTTTTCATTAACACTCCCATGATGACCTAGTTTTAACGGGCCGCTTACTTCAACAAAACTATGCCGTCCGACGCTTGGTGAAGCCGCATTCTAAACCATCTTAAACCTACTTTGCGAAGCTGGATAAATTAATAACACTTCTTACTTTGTTTGGACAAATACCTTAAGAGTTAGCTTTAAATCTCACCTGGGCGCTTCAGTGTTTCGTTTTTACTTTTAATTCATCTTAACTAATGGTTAACCACGACAGTTGGGTTATGATGAAAAGTGATGTTTGTACTTATCTTGTGCTTTTTTTATTGTTTTTGTTTTATTTCACAGCGGTGGAATAGGAGGTTAGTCAATTTCAATCATACCCTTCTTAAAATTTTCATAGAATATGTTATTCATGATCAAACAGCTGACCAATGGTGAAACTTATTTGGATAGCATGCATTTTATTCCAGGAAGTGGGTACCTAAGTAGAAACATACATCGTTTAAAATAAGATGCAGTTTTTCTTTCTTAACCTAAGTTGAACATTGTTTTCAGTCGACTAAGTGTTGTTAACATATGCAATCAACGAAAAAAAAAATCTGTTGTTCGAGTGCTGACGTTTAAAACATGAATATAGGTAAATTTGCTTCAGTAATATTCTGAAAACTTCTGTGTTCAAACCGACATTTTTCATTTCGTGTCTCAATTAGGTTTAGCATCGTTTGGTGGAGTTTGTAAACGTACCAACACTGTTAGTGTGGTGAGGGATAGTGGTCTTCAAACTGCATCTTTCATCGCACACGAAGTGGCACATAAGTATGTTTATGTTAACTTGGAAATCCCTTAGAACCTTTAAGCAAGATACCGTGTTGCATGAAAATTTTGTGAGTTTTAATCTCTACGGATTTTGTGCGGTCAAAATGTGATTTGCTCATTCTAATGAAGATAGATGCATACCAGTCATGTATCAACTCATTTTTACTAGGGGGATTTAATTTGAACTCATTCGAATTGTTAAGATAAGAATCACCTTCCCTCTTTGCACCTCGATAAGTTGAAAATCGGCGGAAATATACAGTTTGTTTCTTTCCGCGATAGTGCTCTTTCACTTGAATAAAAAGTTGCAAAAAATTACAGTGTTTTCCAACAGAAATTTCAATCAATTTTCATGCCTCGCGGTAATCAAACTGAATATCCAATAGAGACCCCAGCTCTTTGCTCTAAGAGATATTCGTGAAGGATACAAAAAAATGCCAATATTTTAGAACGACACATCATGAGTTATGGTTGATCATTCAACTCATGCTACGATTTCTTTCCGTCTCCTTAACTTAGAACAATTTGGAGTGCTCCAGCTAGATGTAATGTGGTTTTCGTTAGCAAAAATACTTTACCCTGAAAAAACCTGAGGAAATTAGCTTTAGGTATGAGAGTAGACGGGTATTGAACGAGAGATCAGTCAAATCACATGAATGCCTACATATACGGAGTAACACTTTATAGACGCAATCACCACGGCTTATTGAAGTAAACTCGATGTTAAGGGAAAATTAGTTTTATCAATTAAGTTGATAAAGTAAATTAGCCACCATAAAGAGATTTAAAGTTTTTGTTTTGTCGTTAGCCCTTCGTCAACCCTTAGCTCCTTTGCGGTGGCAAATTTACATTATCAACTCGGTTGATAAAACCAAATTATCTTGAACACCCCCACAGACGCAGCACCACAGTTTCTTTAGAAACTTGCCCCTTTTATTGACTGAAAAAGGTATTGGTTTCACTCTGCAGCTTAGGGGTACCCCATGATTCCAAAGGATCAAGTAAAAACTGTTCCAACTTTGTTAACGTCATGTCAACGACAGGACAAGGAGGACCTGGTTCTTGGGAGTGGTCATCGTGCAGCAAGGCAAAAATTCAGAGTTTTCTCAAGTAAGAGAAGTCTCGAAAGTACTGAAAGCACCTTTTATCTTCTCGTAACTTACTTTCAGGCTCCATCAAGCGTGCCTAAGAAGCCCATATAATAAGTTGAGAGTGGAAAATTTGACTCTGTTTTGGTCGCTGTAATCAAATTTAAATATCCTTAACTGCAAGCATACAATGGGCAGTATCGTTAGTAGAGATTGCAGTGTCAGACAGAGCAATTCGTACAATATGGAGAAACTCCTGATCTGGTTGATAAAAAGGTTCGCTTTCCCATTTATTGCTTTCATAACAGTGTAATTTCCTTTTTATTTATTTATTCATTTTCAAAGGAGCAGCAAATCCACATGTTTAAATGATCCTCCTCCCTCGACTCGTCCTAAGCTTCCCTCTGACCTCTACACCGAGCTACCAGGAGAACTCTTTGACGCAGATAAACAATGTTTGTTCCAGTATGGCCCTGAATACAGACAATGTCCGCAAAGAAGGGTAAGAAAAAAAGACTGATCTAATCAAAAAAATTTTTTAAGGGGAGAACCTCCTCGTTTACACTTCAGATAAAATACAGGAAGGAAACCAGATAATCTTGAACGATGGTTTGCAATTTTGAGCAAATTTATTAAGGGTAGGTAGCCTGTAAAGAATGGTTTGACAGTCAATTAAACAGTTGATCGAGAAATTCCTTCATTTTATTTTTAGAGCGTCTGCGGTTCCCTTTGGTGCACATCAAACGGACGCAACTGCTATTCGAGCTATTTAAGGGTAGCAGATGGAGCACCATGCGGACTGCGTAAAGTAAGTTTATCATCAAAATGGTCCTCTAACTCTGCCTGTGGCAGAATTCTCGCACACGTCTTAATTCTCTCTAGAGTTCACAGTCCTGGCCGACTTGAATCAAATTCTAACCAGTTAAAGAGACGCTGTCATGCCATGTTTTTCAATGGGTCACTGCCTTTTTCACCAGTAGCCATTCCTCCAAGGCATAGTATTGTAAGTCTTCTCTAGTTATGAAAGTCTACGGTGTTTGATCAGTGATAATCGTTGAAAGACTTCGATAATTGAGACACCTCTTAACGGCATTCACTAATTAGTTGTAGGGTTTATATGGTTAAGCAACGCAAAGTATTCCCTCCGCAAAAGAATAAGGAAAGATACCCATGTAAACGGTTTACAGCACTGCTACACCATATGATGAATAGTATAGATGCCAAAGGAATAATCGATCATTCCTGGACATCTTTTAATATTTTCTCTCATAGTGAACCCTTGTGATTTCGCAACGATCTCGAATACCCTAATTCTTAATTTTTTAATTATTCAACGATTGACACTAAAGTTAATCAAATTCATAGGAGAAGTCTAGTCGATGAGCGAAAGAAATTAAGATGGTCTTGAACCCTTGGTATAAAATGTTTTGCATTTTCTACACAACTAATACACAACTAGTAGATACCAACATAACCAGCCAGGCGACAAGACTGTGAATCTCTATCTCCTACATCCAAACATAAATTTAGTCTCAACTCCACTGCTGTTCACGACTGATGTTTCTCTTGCATGTAATTACAATTCAAGTGGTGCATTAAAGGCTCTTGCGTCGATAACGGCTCCCCAATTATCAATGGAGGATGGAGCGAGTGGTCTAACTACACGGAGTGCTTTCCAACGTGTGGAAGAGGAGTTCGCCACCGAGGAAGAACATGCACCAACCCACTGTAAGAAAACACTCTACTACAAATGTAGTCCTAATTTTTAGGATATAATTGGTGAAAACCGAGATTTTTTCTCGTGAACAAAGTGCATACGTGTTCCTTTTGCCTTTGCTGGTGGTTTTCATTTCTCAGTAAAAGTTCCGTCACCTGCTATTACCTGAATAGACCTGGAGTGACCCACATCACTTATATCTTCGCCAACATACATAGCTTATGGTACAACTCATGGACATATTGATTTTCCGCTAAAAAACAAGAGCAGAAAATTCATTATTTCCGAAACAATTTCGTAAAATAGAAACTGAGCCTGTTCATTTTATTTTCCACCGGAATGACCGTGTTCCTATCGCAACTGGAAAGCACTCACAGAAATATGATTCAAAAGCAGTTGCTAAGCTCCTTTAAATTTTTTCTTTTTTCTCACAAGACCTGAAAATGGTGGCGCAGACTGTGAAGGTCCTGCGATATCGTTCTGGGAAACCTGTAATAACGAGGTAAGAGCACTTACAATTAAAACTTTACTCTTGAGCAAGCTCCCTTGATAATCATGAAACTTCATTTCTGCTTTGCGCTAGCTGATAAACGAATCCCTCAAAATTGTTTCTGATTTTTACACCTTTTTTTATTATTATTATTATTATTATTATTATTATTTTTGTGACTTACCCCATATAAACCAAGAATTGACAGGTTTCGGGACTCCTTACTATTTTTATTTCAGGTCCCTTGTAACATTTCTGATGGTCAGCCATCTTTTCGTGATTATCAGTGTAAAAGGATAAACGCTGATTCCAACGCTTACTATCCTCCCAGTAAGTGCGCTAGTTTTTTCAAATCATTATTAAGTAATTGATAGAAGCGAAAGATAAGATAACTTTAGAGAGACAGTTCATTTGCAAAATCTTTGGAGAACTCCATCAGTAAGGTACAACATTTGGAATGAAAAATTAATACGATAAAAAGGTTCTTTGATATAGGTTACATTACAATGGAAAGATGTATTATTTCATGATCCAGGTTAAAAAGACAGAAAGTATCGTTCAAAGTCGGGAAATTCCACTCACGAGACGAAAGAATTATCTTGAAGAAACAAAAATGTGCGATGCACCATCTCAGATGACGTTCTGGCCCACAGAAACGTATTTTGATAGCATAAACAACAATCTTTAACTCAACAGGCTAATTATTGCAAAGATATACTTTAAATATATTAAACACCGAAAAAAAAAACCGAGGGGGTTGTTGGGAGCTCTATTCACTCTTATATTCTTTTACTACAAAGATGGCGCCAGTCAGCTTGTAGGTCTGGTGCATTGGGTGAAGTGATTTTAGTCTGTAGAGGTCCAAACTCCTCAAAATTGTTAGCCTTTACAGGCTGATGTATACACATGTAGAGAGGCTTTTGATATTTATCCATAAAAGGAAAAATAATGATATTTCTCTTTCAGACCATAACCCATGTAGACTTGCTTGTCGATCAGGGAGCACTTTTGGTTTCTATGGAAACGTGCTAGACGGCACTCAATGCAGTGAAAATCCTTATGTGTATGACGTATGCATCGAGGGAGAATGCAAGGTATACGGCCATCTCGAGTTTATCATACGGGGCAACTAAAATTCAATAGGTTTCCTTGAGTTGCACTGAGTTACACTATTTATTTCGATTTTGGGAAAGAAGTTGAAAAATAGTCGCCTATAAAAAAGTGCAACGATTTTGGAATAGTGTCTTTCCGTTCTCCTCGGAAAGTCTTCAAAGGAAAGATTCCCAAGGACGGTTATGAGATAACCTTGATCAATAGCATGCGATCACGGATTTCAGCTGTTCATAATTGGTGTCATTACTTATCATTTCTCTTTTTTTAATATTCTTCTGCTCTGTTCTAATCTGTTTTTGCTAACTTTTTTCTTTTTATCTTTTTATTCATTTTGTTTACTTGTTGCCGTTATACGTGCAACTCAGGCATATTCGCAATTTACAGGAGTAAATTTTATACGGGAGTAGATACAAGCGATAACCTCACTGACTATGTACTTCCTGTAACTATAGGGGGAAATTAAATTTTGGACTTTATCTCACCAATTTCATCATTCGTTTACTTATTTTAATGTCTTTTTTTTTTTTCATTATTACATTTAGTTTCTTAGTTGACTTATTTTAACGTGATTTGTTTAAATTCCAGACGGTTAGTTGTGATGGTATTCTCAATTCTGGAAAAGTAAAGGATAGATGTGGCGTTTGCGATGGAAATGGGGATTCATGTATATTAGTGAACTCTAGCTACACAAAGGACTACAAGAAATGTGAGTTTCCCTACGCAATGATACATATTTGATCCTGATCTCATAATTAGAAAGCGTTAGTTCGATTTTGATCGTCAATATCAGACGTTTATTTTTATTTATTTTTAGCGCATTGCATCACAAAATCTCAATGCTCTTACAAAAATAGTAGCAATTTAGGATCCACTGAAACCATCACAATAATGAATTATAATACAATAACTAGACGAAGAAATAGATAAGCATGCTCTGATTTTGAGTTTGTATGTTCGTAAAAATAATCAACGGACGGGGTGCTCATCACGTCTAACGGTAGGTCGTTTTACTAGTCGTGGTGATAAGGAGCTGGAAATTGTTAAATTTATGCCAAAGTGACTCATTTGACTTTGAATTAATGGTTGAAAATTTGTGACTGGAAAGGATTATAAAGTCCTTCACATTAATGATCAAAGGCCCAGGATTGAAAATCGTACACGTTTCATCATTCCGCCACACTTTTTCCATTCTTAATTCTTACCACCACCATTTAGGTGCGATACCGCTATGCAGAAAGATCTTTCGGTTCGCTAAAGTATACAACTTTCAGCTAAATGTTAATATTGATAAATGCAATGATTGAATAATGCATTAACCGATTTGAATTTCCTTTTCAGATTGGTCCGCAGACACCATCGTTGTTCTACCACCAAACACTTCCCATGCGATCTTCCAGCAGAGAAACGTAAAACAATACAACGTTATTGGTGAGATTTTTTTGGGAACCGTCATTGGCCATTGAAAAAATTGTGAAAAAAAATTAATCTTATTAATGGTCAATAACATAATCAACAATAAATGGAAGAGATGGAAATTCTGGAAACATCAACAGCCATTATGGGAATAAAGCACAGCCTTTTTTTTAAGGATTTTTGAAGTTAATTACCAAATCGCTTATGTTATGAAGGTGTGCCCACTACCTCAAATGAGGTCTCCCCCCTTGTGTGAATAAGTATGTGACTTGAGATACAGGAAGGCAGCCGGGATTACGACGTATACGAATAACTCCTTCTTGGTGCTTAACATTTTCGCCTATTTGTGGATGAATCGATGACTGTAACAAGTCGATTTTCAATTCATTCGTAGTCTATTCTCTTCTTGCTGTGGGCCTAAGCGACAGTGGTAGATGATTTCCACAGCGTGAAATCTTTAGTGGATTTCTGGCCATCAGTTTTGATGTTCGTATCAACGCAGCTTCATCGATGTTGCCTTAATTTATTTTCCTTTATTCAGGTGTTCAATATGAAAAAAAAGATTTGATTCCAATACCAACTTGGACAGGAAAGACCATCTACAAACATGGAACAAAAATTTCTTATATAAATAACTACAGAAGTCCAGACCGGTTGGAAATCGATGGACCAATAGCAGTGCCCCTGAGAATAGTGGTAATTATATGAGGAACTATTAATGAAAACTGTATGAGAGATTGAAGCAGCTTCCAAACTGCATAAGTCAACTGTGACTATAAGAAGAACTTTGGATCTTTTACGGTAGTTTTAATTTTTAACTCGTGAATTCTCGGATCACAATGTATAAATTGTCGCTGTGCGCGGGATATCAGAAAACAAGGAAAATTAATGTAAACTCGATGGGTAACCTGGTAATAAGTTTTTTATTTCAAATTTCGATGAAAAATTCTGAAGTATTCACAATTTCACGGAGGAAGGTAATATAATAAGAATATGGCCTGACCGTCACGCCATAAATATTTCCCTGTTATGTTCAAACTATTGTTCTATTCTAATTAAAGAAAATGAACGAAGCTTTTAAAATTAAAAGACATGTTTCGACAGTTCTTCTGTCATCTTCAGTTCTGAATAATACAAAGTACAAAGTTGAATTTAAAGTGTGTAACAAAATGCTGATTGGACAATGTATGCATTTACAAGGAAAGTCTTAAATGAACATGATAAAGTTGAAGATTAAGGTTTCTCCCAGTGAATGTGGATAGATTCTTTGATTTTAACCAAATTTAATGGGAGAAACCTACTCTTAATCACCCACTTTATCACGTTAATTTAAGACTTTCCATGCCTACTTTGTTCTGTCGCTATTGTTATTATTCAGAACTGAGGATGACAGAAGAACTGTCTAAACATGTGTTTTAATTTTAAAAGAGTCGTTCATTTTCTTAAATTCGTTACATATCTGCTTCTATCCAGACTCATGGTTCTATTCCCAGCAAATTAAAATGCTTTCTTTCGTCGAGTAGTTTTTACGGGTCTGAAACTTCCTCTCTTAAGTTTCTCGTTTTCACAAGGGCTTATGGTTGCATAGGATTCCATTGACTGGTTCAATTTCATTTTTCTCCATTTTTTGCAGTATGTTCACCTACAGGCTCCCAATGTGGCAGTTGACTACCAATATTACAGACCACTTGAGTTGAACGAGACTTCTATGCCACCAACGTGTAGCTGGGTAACAACAAACTGGACTGACTGCTCTACAGGTTTCTCCATTTATGAAGTCACTTTTACCGTTCAATAAATAATTACTCTCAATTCACAACCTAAATGGTCAATTAGAGGGACTGCAAATAGGATATGGAGAGAAACGCAACGCCTATACATGTTTCTTGCTAAAAGAGCCACAAAGCCAAAGCAGGCTTGCAAACGTAATGAAACATTTTGCCGGCAAAAGCTCGGCCGACTAGTTGGCCAACGAGTCGGTCAATTATCAAAGGATAGCTGACCGTTTGTCGGTCAACTGTCAATTGACTTTTGGCCGAATGTCGATGGATTGCTCTCAATGCACCTATTAGGGGTAAGATAAGCGATTTCGCAACACCAACTTCGTAAAGATTACCTGAACCACGCCACCACCTTGGACAACATTGAGTGATTATTTTTGTTGCCACACCGACAAAGGATCAATCGATAGATAGTACACCAGAAAATTTTAAACATCTCTTAATTTCATTTTGAATAATTTTTTTTTCTTTATCAAGAATTCCCTCAGTCTTTTTCTAAAATCAGCGAAGTGTTTATCCAAATTAACATTAAATGTTTTCTCTTCCACAGGTCAGCAGACCCGTGATGTCCACTGTGTAAGAGACGATGATATGACCCCTGCGAGTGCTAGTTGCTGTGGAGAAGATTCAAAACCTGATGAAATTCAGCTTTGTTTTGAGTAAGTCACTGAGGTGGAAAAAGATGCATAATAGAAATGAAGATGTTTTATGATAATGCAACAGATTTTTGTGGACCTTGCATATTCTCCATAATTTTTTCTTCTTGATGTTGTTTATATCGATTTTAATGCGTTTTTGTTTGTATGTTTGTTTGTTATGAGCGTGACAATGTCATTTTTTGTAATTAAGTAGGTGGGAATGTTGGTAAATTTTAAGCTCGTTCGTCAAATTAAAGAAAAAAATGTTTCAACTTTCTCATTCTATTTACTTGCATGACGCTTTCCACGTCTACTCTATCTATCTCTCGTCTATATCAACAGCTTAACTCATCATTCGAGTTCTGCCTGTGGAAGGAATTTCGTAGAACAAATTTGATCCAACGAATTTGCGCTCCGATGCTGTCTCACGCTCGTGGCAAAACGAACATCTTTATTTAAATCAGATCTTCTCCCTATTTTTCTATCAACGACTCAGATGGCACGTTTCAAACTGGCAGGCTTGTACGAAGACATGTGGACGAGGAAACCAATCACGATCAGTTGTTTGTCGCGCAAGAGTTTCTGACACTGACTATCAAATCGAGTTCGACGAAGTTTGTAACGCCACCAAAAAACCGATCGAAACACGCTTCTGTAATGAGATAAACTGTCCTGCGTCCCGAACAACTCACTGGACAAAGGTATGACATGATTTCACTTTTTATATTAACGGCACACTAGGGCTCTCTAGTTGTCCAACAGTGTTTTCTACTAAACAATGAGCTATTTTTTAAAAAAAGGTTAAAAGCTAACGTTTGGAGCGTTAGCATCAGGGCTAACGCTCCAAACGTCAGCTTTTAAGATGTTTACGGTGGCCAATTTACGTTACCAACTCAGTTGATATTGCTGAATTACCCTGTTATACTCTCCCACCAACGCAACACCACAGTTTCTTTAGAAACTTACCCCTTTTTTCAGCAAGCCACTTTGTTCGTTATTGCGTTGTGTCTCTTTCAGGGGGCTAGGTAGTTCTTTCCGACAAGCGCTTTTTTATTCAAACATTTTACTATTTATGAAGAGCCTTGAACTATATATCTACTATGCTTTTGTAGCAGTACATTTGCGCTAAATATGCCCATACTAGATATTTTATCCACATTCTAACATTCGTCAATATGAAATTGAGATAAAAATGGAGTAGAAATGTCAATTGTCGTAAGCTTTCCGGCAAGCCCAGTCATTTAATCGTGATAAGTATAGAATAACTTTGAACTTTTCGGAATTTTGAAGCTAACAGCCTAAAATTGGAGAGTTATAATTAGCACTTTTGGATTTCAAGCTTCCTTCTCCCCCTTGATCATCAAGAGAAGACTTTTGAGGCCTTTTCTCCCTCATTCGTCAATAAAACTATTCCTTTTAACACACAATCACTTCTGTTTTGGGTGACTTAGATTTATTGAAATTATTTTTTTAACCCATTTCATAGTGTTCTACAGTCTGCCTTCCTGGGGTTCGAAAAAACTACACAAAATGTTCACGCATCAATGCCCTGGGAGAAAACGAAGAGGTGTCGGATATACAATGCGTTTATGAAGGCAGCGCTCCACCATCTGCCAATGAAACATGCAATGACGACAACCCTTGTAAAAGTAAGTTATCTCTGGCACTCTAGAGAACTGTTCTGAGACCTGAGATATGTAGGTTTGTAGTTTGCCGAAAATCGAGCAATCTCCCTGTCTTTCTTGGTTTTTTGTGCATCCAGCATTTCTTAACTATTTGTCATGTTGACTCTCCTATCTTAGTCACACACTTTGTTTTTAACCTAAGTGAAGCTGGGCAAAGTAAGGTTAATTGGAATACTTGCAATAATTCTAAATATCATCAATGCAAAAACCTTTGAACGTAAAACGTTTGGCCCGAAATGTAAATCAGAACCTCTCAAAAATATGGACTTTTGTTCAAAAGGAAAAAAACCTTGAAGTTTTCCACCGGTTTAACGAATTACGAGTTAATGAATTAAACTCTGCCAAATGCCACACTTGGTCAAATATCGAGCCTGATAGGCCAGAACTTGGCAGCATTCGAGCTGGGAGACAGTTCTCTTTATAAGAGACTGTGGGTTAAAAATCTAGTGCCGGTCTAGGTTCATTTGATCACTTGATGACTAAATGCTCTCAGCCTGAACTTTTGCATCGCTTTTTTCATGTTCACAAGCCTACAAGTGCATCTCAGACCTTAACATTCGAAGAAAATACAACAATGGGAGAGAAACTTCATTTAATCCAGTCTTGATTGTTTTCTCCTATAATACCTGTAGAGCATGCGATCGGCTGTTTTAAGACTCCTTCTGGCTTATTCTCAAAGACCCTTGGTGACTTCAGAGCAGAGGCTAAGACAGATCCGAACCAGGCCGTCATGCAGTGCGGCGAATTAGCACATAGGAATGGTTACCGTGTGTTCGCCCTTGGCTTTGATGGTTTGTGCATGTCAGGCGCGGACGCAAAAAACAAATACTACAAACACAAACAGCCTGGCAGAAAAACTGAAGCAGATAAATGCTCGGGAGTTATTGGACAGGGGCCATTCAGTGTTGTTTATTCCTTTGGTAAAGACGTGGTTTCCTTTTATTAATTTGTTCTAACAGTTTTGGTGTATTCAAAGTTATAGGCTGAACCTGTAATCCGAAGTCAACTAGAAGGAACACAGAAGGCGACAATGGGTTTGTTGCAAAGCAACTAAAACATCACTCAAATAGACAAAAATATCCTTCCTCTTTTCTCTTAAAGTAAAACCATTGCACTATACACTACAAGTCACATTCTCAATTTATTGCTTTAACACAAATCCGTCATTGTGCCTGCAGATCCGTTGCCAGAGTATGAACCAGTTGGATGCTTCAAAGACAAGGAAGGTGACCGCGCGATGTCAGATAACTACGCAAATTTCCGATTCTTCATCGACTGGCACAACTTGAACTCTACAATCCGCCAGTGCGCACTCGTTGCCCGAGATAAAGGCTACAAGTACTTCGCAGTTCAATTTTACGGAGAATGCTGGTCCTCTCCAGACGCTGCAGAGACTTATAACAGGCATCATCCACAAAAAGATCTGAAGAAATGCCGGTCGGGTGTGGGAGCTCCCTTTACAAACTATGTTTATCGATTCAAACAGGTGAGTTTACTCCAGCTTCTTTTAACATAATGAGCACAATCTATAATTCTAAACCCTGGCTGAAACGGGTCGATATGTCGTTTTCCAGTTGATATTTTGGGGTCAGGAAAAGTCAGGCTTTGTAGGAAGGAGAGAAAATATTTCTTTTCCCAACCTTCTGCTTTTGGGCACCACGACATCATTTGTTTGTCGGTCGAACGCGCGTGATGTAATCCCACATACCTTGAGGAAAAATAACGTCACGCCAACCAGTCAAGGCGGGAGTACTTCTCTTGAACACCTTATATAGAATTAGGCACATTTACCAGGGCTTTATTTCATTCTCTTATTTTCTTGCAGATAAAAACCAGGAAAACTGAGCCAGACCATGACTCGTCTTCAAACATTGTGGACAATAACAATGCTAATATCATAGCCAAATAGTGATTTCTAAATTGTCACTGTCATAGTACACATGTTTAATATAATTCACGAAGCAGAGCTAGGATTGGCCGCTCTAGAGAATTTAGCAGAGAAAATTAGGTTTTAAATGTCAACGCTTTTTGAAAACTTATGTAGAACGATCTTGTTGGGGTCTTTAAAGGCATCAAGCGCTAATAAAATAAAGAAAAAGAACGTTTTACCTGGGAGTCTCATTATTTTACACTCTAGTTAAGGCCACGCGGAATTTAGACATTATTTAATGGCCGTTATATGATAGTGTTCTGCAACATATTGAGTTTGTTGGAGTAGAAACTATAGTGTTTGACCGTGTAGCACTAGGAAAGTTGCGATTTGCTGAATTAAAATCCAGTATCCTACTCAACCACCATTCCTTTTTCCATTAAACCACCAACTTTACACGAAAAGTTTGGGATCAAATAAGTGGCAAACGTATCTTTGAAGTTTCCATTACACCCGATACTGAGTACTCGTTTTGTAAAAACTTTGAATGAGCTTTGGTTTTCCCTACCCACAATTTCTTAAAAATACTGTTTTAGTTTCAAGTATCTGGTGAACTGTGTTAATTACAGAAAGTATAAAAGGATAAACGATTCTAGTGAATAAAGATTTAATTATGAGAATTTTGATTCAAACTGAAGAAAGGCAAACCAGCTAGCTATTCAGTTCCTCCAGCTTACAAGCGAGTCCTAAAGGACCAAACCAAGGAAATTGAAAAGGAGCTTTTCCTTGTTCATTTCCCCGAAACCTCGTTTTAAAGCCAATATACTGAAATTAGTTTATCGAATGAAAAAATGGAGAATTTAATCATAAGGTCTGCAGACTACTAGTCGGTAAACCCAGCGTCTTAAACCAGAGGCGGGTCGTGCCGCATCCAGAAAAAGCGTTATTTAACAAATAGAGAAGCCTTGACTGTGTTCTGTTCTGTTGTGAAGCACGCAGGAAGCGGCTAGAGCACGAAAGATGTGTAGGGAGAAACACAAGACGCTCTTTCAACCAATGACAGCAAGCATCATAAACGAACTTTATTATAATCTAAATAATAACTCGCTTATTTTTCCCGAAGTTTGAGAGTCATCAGACAACATTGCGAGCCATGTTCACTCAGAATGATTAATTATAGTGTTAATGTCTGGCTATGCGTGTTATGTTTTGAGAAACGAGTATTCGTTGGAATTATATATTATATTGCAATTAAGTGTCTTTAGCACGTTGTTTGCTCCATAATCATGGCTATCCTGTCGTGTACCTAAAGACTTCCAAGGTTATTTCAAATCCTTGAAAAAAATTATGAGTAAAACCATCGTATGCCCCCTTTACACTTGGTCTAAGATTTCTTACAATGAATTTTCCTTTTTAAATTTTACCATAGATTTCCTCTTAATTCCCATTCTTTTTACTTTATTTTTTATCTTTTTATCGCATCTTAAAATACAAGGTAATCTCTTCAAAACGTTTGCTTTGCATGTGCAGTACTTATCTTTCTTTTATAAAGTGGGATTCTGGTACTATGTTTTCAGTGTCTATTAATATACAATAGAAAAATTAGACCAAAAACCTGCACACATAAAACTGAATAGAAATACTTTTTATAAAAAAAGCTTAATTTTCAAGAAATATGTTACTCGTCTTGCTTCAAGCGTGGGACAGAAAAAAAATGAGGGTCGAGGAGGGATCGAACCTAAGACATTTCGCACTCCGACACACTATCAACTCCAAGCGGGAACTCAGATTTTATTTCTTTTCTTTACGCCCTAGCCAAAGCAAATAAATATCCTTGAATATTCCACTGCCGTGCTAGAAGTTTTCGAGTAAAACGTTTATGTTTCATGCAGAACACTTATCTCAGTTCTTGCTTTCTCACGTAGTTTAACCGTTATCATCTAATATGAAGTGTCTTTTCCTTGCAAAAAAAAAGACGGGGATTTAACAGGAAAGCTGATGAAGAGTGTCAACAATGGATCCTGAAAAACTCATTAACACTTCTATTGAAATATATTACAAGTATAATCCACAAAATTCAGAAATACTGAAACACAATAAAGAAGAATATTGGTTCAGCATTTTACCGAGATTTATCTCTTCCGCTCTTAAGTGGGACTTGATTTGTTTATCTCATTTCTATGACGTTAACCGTGGCATGAGTGCTTTGCTCTTGGCTCAGGTTTCTGAGTGTTTTTAGGGCGTTATACAAAAGTAACCAAACATCCGTCGTCTATCAATGTATTTAATACTAATGACACCATTGGTGACTGGGTTTCAAAACTCTCTGACACGAAAAACAATTATTTCAACGCGAAGAGCCCTGAACGGAAACTTGAGAAGCACTTTATAAACGCCGCCAATTCTGCCTGAGAAGTACATTCGGTTTCATATAAATTGAACGCGGTAATTCAAGGTTTGATAACAGATTACAAAGGTAAGTGCCTTAGTCCTGGTGTGCATCCCTATAACTTCAACTCCAAAGCCTTCACGTCTCAATTTGCGAAACGAGCATCAGTAAAACTGTTCCTAAGCCACTTGCAATTAATGACATGGACATGTAAACTAGCAAAAGTCCCCATTCAAAGGTAAGGAATGAAAAAGATATAAAAGTAACATGGGGAAATTAAAAGAAATATGGAAAGTTTAAGTTGTGTAATTATAGAAATTAGTATCTCTTGTTTAAAATGAAATATTGATTAAAATATTTGCGAAAAAATTCAGAATTGTGATATAAAAATTTGATGGAAACAGAAAAATTTCGAATCTTTTATCGTTATTTTTCTATGAAATGAGTTTCTCTATTGTTATTTTGTGTTTCGTAAACAACACGCTGGTAGTTCATGTACTTGTACTCCTTGAAGCTTGAGTGCTATGAAGAGACTCTCAATAAGTTAACCGTTAGCCGTAAAAGGCCTCAAAAATTTTGCCGTGAGGCGTAAAAATGACAAATTTCAACCGTTAGTCGTAAAAGAAGTTAACAGTAAAAAAATTTCTAGCGACAAAAATGGAAAGATATTAACCGTTAGCCGTAAAAGCCATCACCCCATCATGGCCTTCTATCAATTGTGATTATATTCCGGAAAACTTGTCATATTCTTTACTTTTTGGAGAAGTAGCATCTAAAATTAAAAGGTTCGTGGGAATTGAGATGACAAAGTAAGACTGGCGCTTGTCTGAAACCACAGCTGTTGTGTTGTACACACAAAGAGAGAACGACAGAAACTTTAAACGAGACCGATACACAGTGAAAGGATAATTCAACTCAGACTAGTAAGACAGAGTTTTCATCAAATAACATGTTAGCCACACATTTAAAAGCAGTTGTAAAACAGGGAAAGTTTCCTAAAAAATTAAAAAATTCTCGCGGCGAAAAAGTCGAAAGTTAAATTTTTTGACAAAAACAAATATTGCTTCAATTCTTTTTTGTTCAAACAACCAAGGGGTTAATTCATGTTTCATCCAATCGTATCTTAGGGGTGGCTTACGAATAATGACTGACATGTGATGAAAAGATCGACAAAACTCAAGTGTGTTGGGCGGTCATTTCCGAAAAGATACGCCTTCTTTACTTAGGATGTAATAAATTTTCAAGTCTTTTAACAGTGGCAAAACACTGATTGAACTGAACTTATTGAATGCTAGAGTAGCTATGAGTCGCAGTCTGTTATGTATTGATCGGTTTCAAGTTTGTTGACCTTTGTCGGCCTTCGAGAGTATCTTTTGTCTTCCTACTTAACAGAGTTACAGTGAGTAAATACTGCCGATTACATCGATGCAAAACTAACCAATCAGATTCCATGAGTCAAAATTTTAACATTCGAACTCCTAACTTGACTTTGATGATAACATCCGCTCAGGTTGTCGAAGCTTAAGTCGCTTGTACTGATAATAGACTCTCGCAGGGCTATTCTTATTCAGACAATCAGACTACACGGTAGACGTTTTACCCCTTGGTTCAAATCATTTACTGTGATTCTAAATTAAGCAATAACAAGGCGATTGTAAAGTCCTGGCCCCGGCTTGTTTGGGGTTGGGTAACACTTTCCACAGGATAAATCTCTATCCAATGTGTAGTGCAGCGCGTATTGTTGGCACTTATCCGCTGGATGGCGATTTATCCGCTTGTAGGGTACATGTACAAAGAGTTCCCCTACGAATCTCTTTTAAGTAGCCACATTCACAGCAACAGATGCTCGAGTACATTCACAACCTGATAATTTTCTCATCTTTGTCTATCAAGTCCCCTAACCGAAAAAATAAACAACCAATTGTGATAGAAAATGAAAGTAGCACTCGTTGTTAGAGATAATACCAAGTATTACTAACTTAACCGTTTTCGCTATAAATTAATTTCTTTGTAAAATTTTCGATTTTCACGCTATGCATTCAGTCTAGAAGACCATATAAAAGACAAGTTTCAAATCATATTTTGTCTTCAATGATCATTGCATACCATGCTTTTACAGGCTAAAGAGTCATCCATTCTTTTGTCATCTACTAAGCTCATAAACTGCGTTTCATATATTTGTAACCCAAGGGAAAATAATTGTCGTTCAATGCATGGAATTTTCCCAGACTCAATTCAATTAAATTGAATGTCGCCGGCTCCATACAAGGTTTCAAAAAGGCAACCTTTAAATGAGCAGCACTTAGAATCAAAGACGATTTCAGCAATTTTATCAACAGTATGCAACTGATTTGAGGGGCACCAAATCACAATGAATTCTGGGTTCAACTAAAGATGATTACCTTCTAATAGTCAGTGTATACTGCGTGTTATCTCATCTTGACACGAGGCAATTATTGGTTCTCCCCTTTCATGTAAGTCAAAGCCAGTCAATGTGAATATGATCATTTGAAATGCGATCCTTTGGTCTCTTACATTTGACTATACAAACTCAAATCACGATTCAAACACATTGGGCGTAACAAAAGGTTTTTCTCTCACAACTTCTTAAAAGACACGTTAAATGCGAACGGCGAAGAAAGGACGTACAAAAGTATGAACTACCACCCGAAAACAATTTCTTGGCCGAGTTCAAATTTCTTGTGTTTGCTGTCTTTGCTGTCTCTACTTCTTTTTCTAACAAAGCGTTCTTCTTCAGTCGGTTTTTATTTTTCATGTTTCTGATAATATCTGATAAAGATTAGTACAACCTTGTCGGCTTTGTAATTCTCTGACCAGCCGCCTTTTTCGGCCTCTTTTAACTGTCCTTCGAAGGCCCGGATACGCCGTTATCTTTATTGTCACATTATCGACAGCCCTTTGTCCGTCGAACTGTTTTGACAAGGATTATTATCTGTGATACTATAAGATGACGTTTTCTCTCCGGTATCTCCAGGAGAGTTTGGAGAGCAAAAACGCAAACGAAAAAAGCCACGAAATACTTTGGCAGTAGACTTGCTATATTCGGTTGTCAATCCACGTAAACGTGTTCACTCCAGAGAAAGAAAAGTGTTCAAAGGTTCTGAAGTGAAAGTCAACAACGTAAAAAAAAACCTTTTCTTTTGAAAGGTGAAATTTTTAATTTAAATTTTATTAATTTAAACTACTTACATAGCTGTGTCTTTTTCATCTTTCAGCCTTTATCACATGATTGCTCATGGCTTGGAATATAAGAATAGAATTGTGCTGGTGTATACTCGTCAGTTGGATTTTTGTAGTGGGTACGTTAAAATCCTTAATAATCAATAGTATTTTTTAAAACAGCAGATTTATTACGTCTTGTAATCAGTATGAAAAAACAATGGCTAGCTAGAAGATTAGTATGGCATTAGATTAACAAGTATACAGCTACATTTGGAGGGGAGTTGTATATATTGCAAGAACGTATAAAAGGTTGAAACTAACAACTATTAGCCTTTGAAAAGTGGCCATCTAAAATGGGAGGGCAACCTTCAGATACATGTAGTTTAGCAGGGTAAAACATTTCCAGATGGAAATAAAACTGAACAAAACATAAATTTTGTTGGGGTAGTTGAGGACTGACAAGGATTTTAAAACAAACCAACGTGAATTCTTAACGCTAGACGTTTTAAGGTGTACAAACTTCATGATAAATGCGGCTTTTAAGTGACCATTGGATCGTTTTTGTGAGCATCCCACTCACTAAGACTCGTAGATCAATCGTATCAATCAAAGATGTACTTAAATGGGCGATATTTATTATCATAATTTTTTTTGATCCAAGGAACAGTAGCTAACTGGAAAAAAATTTGTTTCGTCTACAGATGCGCTCAGGTTGAATCAACAGAGTATAAACAAGGTATGTTCAAGCCGATCCAGGGTAATTTCATTTCTTTCGAGGGAATCTTTTTATGGTACACACAGGCTTGGTTGAGTTTCCACAATTCTTTGTTTTTACATAGCGAAACGTGAGATGTTCACCTAAAATATTTTCATTGGAATCGGTTTAAATTCAGCGTTGCTCTTTAATTGGCCCTATCTGTATCATACAGTCTTTATGAGAGCAGAAGAACTTTCCTTTCAACCTTGACTTTGGAAGTATTGGATTACGTTGTTAAAGGAACAAAAAAACGCAATTTATAAAACGGCGGAGGAGGTTAAAATGTTTAGCATAATTTACAAGCACTTTCCAATACCTCTGCTGCCACAGATTTTCTCCCCTTATGGCTAAAAGTGAAGAGTTGGTGCGCATCAGAAACTTACTGAACAACACACGCATCAGAAACTTACTGAACAACACACATAAACATTCATCATCGATCCATGTACTAACATTTCAATTTTCTCGGATAGCTGTGAAAGATAACTGAAGCTTTTCTTTAAAATTGCAGCCCTTAAAAGTACATCATTATATGACGAGAAGGGAAATACGAACATATTTTGGCGTTGACACACATGAAAAAGGTATTATATTTGTTATCATTTACACTGTAGAATGATATCATCCCTTACTGGCGAGCCAACAACGGCTAAATTGAACGATGAGTTTTTAAACTAGGCCAAACTGAGTTTAACTGCGACTTCTTTTAGAGATCACAATTTTTTTTGAAAAATCACAAAAAAATTGTGATCAGATTCCTTTACGGATAAGATGAAACCTCTTAAATTTGCCCTCTCCTCCCAATTGTGACTTGGTAACTCAGTGGGTAGCCGTGGGCCAACGAGTATTTGAGAGGCACTGGATTGATTCCTGTTGTTTGTTAAACTTCATTATTAGGGGTAGCAAAGGGGAGATCCTGATCCTCCTCACGTATTTTTTTAAAACAAAATGTACCAAATTAAAAAGAGAAACCTCCAAATTTCTCTTCTCAAGTGCGAGGTTTCAAGAAATCTCGAGGTTTTCACGAAATGAAAGTAAAATTCACTTCAGGAGGAAAATCACGCCTTACTCGGAGTCTTAAATTTACGATTTACGCTCGCCTTTTTGTAAAATTTACGCGTCTCATATTTATTTTGGCCTTAAAATTTTACGCGTCACGTATAAACCCTTTGCTACCCTCTTTTCTGCTGAAATTGCAAACCACCTGCGAAGATCATTTCTTTGTTTGATACCTTAGGGATCTCAGTCATATGAGACTCGTTCAAAGTGTATTCCCGTGTTGCCCTTAGTGGAGATGCCCTACTGATTCTTATTCATTAGTTACGGTATTTACCTTTCAAACCCTGATTCCTAAATTAAACGCTTATTAATTAAAAATGAAAACTGAATCTTGCTGAGTGGACAAATCTGGTCCTTTGGCCTTTTCCGTGATTATACCCAATACCAATGAGAAGAGAGAAAACACTGATTCTAAATTCGAATTTTTCCGTCCCTCCCATTACCGTGTGAGTTTTCTCAGTACCGTCGAGGTCTTGGCTGCTGTTATGATAAACATTTTTGTCACTTGAAGATTACACGGTAATAACTCATATCAGATTTAAGGGTGTCAATGAACGACGGCGACTGTGTATTTCATTAATCTTTTTTTATTTAAATTAAATGCAGTTCCCGAGTATGACGTCACAAGCCCGTTCCAAGCGGATGAATCCGGTAACTTTCTCAGCTACAAACTGCATGAGCATGCGCGACGAAAGAGAGACGCCAGTCATGACGAACCAAACCTTTGGTACTATCAAGTGCAGGCATTTGGTGTGTCCCTTCATTTAAATCTCACCAAAAATAATAATCTCCTAGCACCCGGCCTGGTGGTTGAAAAGATAAATAAGAATGGCAGCAAGGAATATAGTGAACCGCCGCACTCCGCCTTCTACGCTGGACACGTGACTTCAGATCCCAACTCAGTGGTTGCTATTGGCAACCATGATGGACTGGTAAGTAGAGCTCCATTTTGAATCTATTGTCGACAACAATTAATGGTGAAGGATATTCAGAAGATGTGTTTTTAATTCAAAAGTAACAAAACTCGAAAATTTAAAATATTTTTTAACTGATTATTAACTCTATCTATCCGAGAATTAAGAAGGTAAGTCTCTAAAGAAACAATCGTGCTTCGTGGGGGAATGATGAAGAGCTGACATTCTGACGATGGGTCAACGCTCGAAATGTCAGCTTCAGAAACTCTTTACGGAGGCCAATTTAAATTATAGCGGAGCTCGTAGAGCGTAGCCCCATAATTATACAAAATAGTAGTAACCCATCAAGCCGAAAAAATTTGGATGTACGACCCTCCGACCGTACGACCGCACAAGGTGCTACTTTTAACATGCGTGGTCAACTGTACCGCGGTACGCCAACGCCACGGCTTTGTTCAGTAGTCCAGTGGTCAGTGCACTGGGCTCCGAGTCGGACGACCCGGGTTCTAGTCCTGGCCAGGGCAAGGCATTGTGTCCTTGAGACGTGCGGAAAAAAAAATGTGAGCTCCGTCTTTAGGCTTGGCTAAATCTATATATTAGACTCAGTTGATAAAACTAAATTTTCTTATCATCCTCGATTTAGTTTGCAAATGGACTTACTATGATTTGTTTTTATTACACAGTAACTTATTTCATTTGATGAATACTTATTCACATGTTAATTCAATTTCAATCTCACGTTTGCTCTCGGATTTTACTGTTGGTTAACAAATTGATTCAGTCTTTTTATTTGTTTTTTCATTTTGACTTGTTTCCAGAAAGGAATTATTAATCACTTTGGAAGTTCCTTCTTTATGCAACCGTTACCTTCCCGCCTCGCAAGGTACCATGGTGTTTCTAGTGGTTCTCAGCCACATCTCATTTTCCGGCGATCTTTGGATAATGAAGAGAGCAGATTTGGAGTCATAGGTGAGACTTATATTAGAAAGCCTCAACGGGGGTGGGAGGTACTCGGATAAATTTTTGCTGGGTCGCTTGCTCCTCAGAACACTTACCCTGTAATAGTCTATTCTTTGGCCATTTATAGGTCTCATCTTAGTCACGTTTGGTAGAAACGAATCTTCTCATTTTTATATTCCTTTATATCACAATTTCTTAATCCCAAAAATGTGCAACGTCATTCTTATAGCTCTATTGAAACGCAATTCCATTATTATCAAAATGTAACCTCATCCAGCGGCACATCCCCATCAGCCAATTACAAGGAAGATACACGTAACAGGGCTGTTTGATTGACACCTGACAGGGAAGTTTGCCCTTGGTTTAAGCCCCCCCTCTTGGTCGATTCCAACAAACTTGTCAGGAAACAACCACTGACAATCTTTGTTCTCTCGTTGATATCTTTTCGTCTCTTTAAGTCTCTCATAAAGAATAGACTCACTCGTAAAGTAGTGATTGTAAAGCGAGGTTCTTTGCTGAATCGTCCAACGTTCAAAGCGATGCTTAACCACCCTTCCCTAGTGTCATGTTTTCTGACACTTTGTCAATAACAAATTCACTTGAAGAAGAAGGAAGAAAAACGTTCGAGCTGTTTGCATCATCGACAACCCAGCTCATAGGAGATCGCTCTACGACCTTAGATTTTAACCTTACGATGTTACTCTTCTTTTTTTTTTTTTTTTTACATTGGAACAGAAACACAGTTAAAAAGGAGTTCATTATTAAAGAAGGAAACAAGCAGAAGCTTCTCGAGTTCTAGAAAATCAAGATCCGTCCCAGACAAACATCTGGAGGTTCTACTGGCAGCTGATCATCTGTATTTGAATAAATTCCACAGCGATAAAGAAGCCACGGATCTGCTTTTAACACTAGCTAACATTGTTAGTACCTCATATTACTCTCCTCATTTTGTCGTCTGTTTATTTTTTTATTTATTAAATCATTATTAACACATTTACATATCTATGATATCTATTAATCTATTTATCGTAAAGCATTATTTTAATAAACTTTAGGCGGCCAACTAACACTATAGCAATACCTCCCACTGACGTGGCACCAGGTCCTCTATTCATCTATCTCTCTGTTCTTTGAAATAATTTCGCTGCCGTGTTTAGTAGGCTGCATAGGGATACCAATTTTTATGGTGTCGGCTTTGCACGTTGAATCTGTTAGATCTTGCGAACAGATTACACGGCGTATACCTCCAAATTTACTATACAAGATCTTGATACTATTGATTTTTCTTTGCTGTCTTTAAGCCTATGCAAACACTTTATCATTTGTGTTTTGATCCTTGATAAACCTGTCGTCTGCACTTGTGGTGTTCAATCTGTTGATCTATATATTTAGTTGTATCGATGTTTTTGAAGGCGCACTGGGAAAAACTGGGTGGGAATTTTTAAATAGGGGCTGACTGATAAACTGAAATATTAAAATTTTCATAAATAATACACAGATCAGCGAATAATGGAAACAGCGTTTTCTTTTCTTTAATTTCTTGTGGCGCATGATGTCCAATGGCCCTTAGTTCAATGAACTCACCCAGTTTTTTCAATACCGCATCTAAACATGTAGAGCCGAACTTTTATTTCAGTTAAATGCAATGTATCATGACGAAAGCATTGGGGATATCAAAGTGACCGTCTCAGTTGTGAAGATAGTACTGCTTCATCATGGCGTGAGTATTACCGGTATAATAGCGCATGCCAGGAAATAAGAGTAGTAAAATTTGCTAAACAAAAGTGAGGGAAAGTACTGACTGTGTGTTCGGTTCAATCCTGCCTCTGTGCCCCGGTCTAGAGCTCTTCAGTTGTAGAAACTGAGTAGCCAGTCCGATCAGTTTTAAGAAGAAATGGTCAGTTGTAAGGATTGGTTTCATGGAAATTTCAGATAAAAACCGGTACTACTATGTGAGCCATTAGTTCATGGAAACAAATTATTGTTTTAACCAAGTGAATAAAATATGAGGTGAGTAAGCAAGCAAAGTGCTCTGAAAGGCCTGTTTTGGACCTGTCCACGTGTAGCTTAAGCAAAGCACGTTTCTCTCTTTCGTAACCCTGCAACATTGTGCAACACCAAGTGCTCTTTTTGCTTTGTACTAATAACCATTTCCTCAGGAATAAACAAGGAAGAATAAAACGGATTTATGTTTGTATACAGCTAAGTTACACTAGTAAGGCAACATCAGGACAAAGGCTGAGTTCCATGGAAGTTTGGATTGGTGGTAATATGCCAGAGTCAGACGCTGATAAAGAACATGGAGACCAAGTTCTGCTTGTCAGCGGGTGTGTATAATAATGCTTCGATTATCTTGCTCGTACGTTGGTTATTTAATTCGTTAATCATTTTATATATCAGTCTTTTATCTATCCATAATTCTGAACATCTATCTATTCCTGCCTCCAATCGATTAATCAATTAATAACTTTATTTAAGTGTCAGTGATATTTACCCGAGGAAAAAAGCTCTACTGATTTGGGACACTAAGTGACAGCATTAATGGATTTTGTCATTCACCCGTTTGTTCTTCGATTGCTCATCCCTTCTTTCATCGGTTGATTTATCCATTCACTTATCACATAATTTATTCATCTATTTGCCTTTACATTTAATGTTCCTCATTTCTTTTGTCAAAGACCAACGCTTTTCAATGATTTTACTAGGTTGTTTTTCTTATGAAAAGGCCATTTAAACCAATCTTCAAAACTCATCATCATGGTTTATTTTCTTGTTTTTATTAACTTTTGTCTTTTTTCATCTTCTAGCCAAGGATTTGGAGGTAAGGCTGCTATCTAAGGTTGAAGGCGAGGGAAGTTGTTCTTCTTTTTCTTTCTCCTTTCTCTTTCCCTTGTTTGAAAAGGTTCCAGAGTACATTGGAATGCTTGAGTCATTTCCTGCCGAAAATTTTTTTTTCTGCTCCTTTTTACCCCGAGCAAAAGACAGCACCACATTTCAACTTTTTTCACAAACTGAGAATCTAGCTATTCTTTATCACTACAGTCGGGCATTTGGTAAATCACATATTAAAGACATTATCACCTGCTTATCTTTTCTTGAAGTGCAATGCTTAGTTTTTTTGCTATTTGCTTGTTTAACTGTCCCAGTTCTCAAAGTGTTATTACTTGAAAACCATTTCCGTAAGATTTCTATCTTGAAGAAATGTAAAATGGTTTCCGTGTTTACATAGCCTGATGTAAACACGCGGGAGGTTGGGAGAACACGAGATAAGCGTAGGAAACCACGACGCGAAGCGGACTGGTTTCCAGCTTATCGAGTGTTCTCCCAACCTCCCAAATGTTCATATCAGGGTATGTAAACACGGAAACCATTTTACATTTCTTTTATAAAATAACTAATGAAAGAGGAACGAAAACTGTGTTTACATAAGCTCATGTAAATTGGTTTTATGGCCAATCAGAGCGCACGTACTATTTGAATTATTTTATAATTTTCGATGTTAGATAAAGCTAGCAAGATTCTTTATGCGTTTTATTGTACAATCTCCTGTATTCAATAATACTCACTCAGGCTTAGCTCAAAGTGGATCAACCTGCAAGGGGTATGGGGCAAGTGTAAGCAATGGTGACCTGGGCTTAGCGACCGCCTTAATCATGGCTCACGAAAGTGCACACGCGTATGTAAACTTGTATACCATAGTTTAATTAGAAATATTATATTCGATGAGAATCTTATGCACGCATAGAAATCAAATCATAATCGTTGACTGTCGTCAAATTATTTATTGTTTTTAAAGTTTCGATACACATTTTATTGCACTTGCACAGAAAAAGACCTTAAAGGAACCGGTCATTAATAATCTCCCGGGGAAGGAGATAATTTTTATTGTATCACGGCAAAATTTACCTGATCCCCCGAAAACGCTCAGCAATATTCTCATGTTCCCGTCTAATAGGCAGCAGTTAATTAGAAGTAAATGTTGTATATTTTCTCCTTTATACTCCGTTGGCGACGATTGACCCTTCCCCCCCTACCCTCCGTTCTGTCTGAAAGCCCTTCCCCCTGCCCCCTAACCCCTAGCAACAGACAATGACTGCTTCCTTAGGGGGGGTTCTTAAGTGGAATTTTGATAGCAATCCGAGGTAGATCTTACTTTTTAACTTTGATTCCCTCTGCGAAGATACTTTCTTCTAAACGATTGTTCTAAGGGAGGATATAGTTTATTACAGTGCCTATCATTATCCATGGCTGGTTTGACAGTTAACCTCAGTTGATCAGACCTAATAGAGCTTTGAATAACGTAGCCCAGGGGTTAATAAGGCTCTGAATTAGTAACCCAGGTCAAAGCAGCACGCATTCAGAAACGGGATGAGACATGTTCTGGGTGTATACGCTAACTTTTTACGACAGAGGACTTGAGATTTGAGAGTAGAGCTGAAAGAGATTTTCTAGATTAAACAAGTTCAAATGACATCTGATGGTGCCGAATAATCCTACTGCCGCTTCAATTTGCACTTTTCATTCTTTCACTTTCCTTTAGCCTTGGTGTTGGTCACGACGGTAACAAAGAAGCTGGTTGTCCAGACAACACGTTCATCATGTCCACCACAACAGCGGGAGGGAAAAATGCCTTCAGGTGGTCTCCCTGCAGTAGCACTACCGTACAGTCTTTCCTAAGGTAAATGTTCTATCAATTCCTAGGATGGGGATAGGGGGCTTATTAAGGCAAAAAACATAGGGCTTCCAAATAAGGGGTGGGGGTAGTTGAATTCCCCTCCCCCAAGGAGAGGGGGTAATCAAAGAGGGGGGGCGGAGTTTCGTAAAAGCCCACTCTTGGCCATAATGCAAGTTATTTGTTCTTAGAGATTATCATCCGAATTTACCTAATACCTTGATAGCATCCATGTCTTTAGCTGCAAACTTATGACATTCAAAACTTTTATTGTACTGGTTCTCAAACACAAACATTTTTTGGATTTCAAAGTCACCCGGCCCAAAAGAGTAAATCTTTCTCCTGAATAGTTTTTAATCTGGCGAAGAAGGAGGGGGCGGACTTTTTTAGAGAGAGGGAGACTTATTTAAAAGACGCCTGAAGTGTTAGACAGGTGCACTTACTAGAGCCTTAGTTGTAAGTAAGAGAATCATTCCTTGAGTATTGGCACATCAGATTAATCTAAACAAGGATTTTTGACTTGCAACCCTAATGTTTATTCAGTCACTTGATGTTTCGAGGAAACGTGACTTTAAAAATGCTGAAGTTTTATTGTTAGGGCTTTTATTTCGCAATTGGGAAAAAGATTTCTTCGTAAATCCATGTTTTTTCAATACATTTCCTTCCTTCTAGCGGTTCATCTTCGTCTTGTTTAAACGACCACCCTCTCAAAGATGTTTCCGGATCAAGAGCCAATCATAATAAATTACCTGGTCAAGTGTACGACAGCGATGCACAATGCGCACTTCAGTTTGGTGCCAGCTATAAACTGTGTCCAAGGATGAGGGTATCAAGATATTCGTAAACTCAAGGGACCAGTCACTGTTGCACCTGGAGGGGTCGGAGAATTTTGGTTGTATCAAGATCAAATTTACCTGATTCCCCCTTA